TTTCAGATTAAACTGTCCAGGTACCTAACCATCAAGACAAACGCTCATAGGTCTTGTCAATGAACTTTGTATTCAGAATATTTACTGAATATCGGAAGAGTTACATGGGGTACATATACTTGGGCTTCGATCCAAATCACTCGGGCAATCGAAAGCCCACAGGTATTCTGTTTTGGAAACTTTTGACATTTTCTCTAAAAAAGCTGGAGACGTGGATTAGTACTATGAAAAATAAGATTTGTTCTTAAATGCCAATCTGGGTTGATCATATTGAAAAGGTTTTTGCCTGCTTAAACATGAGAATTTGAATTTGAATCTATATAAATGCAAAAAATGATTTTAGAAGAATTATTCTTATTTTGATCCACGGAAGTTTAGGCGAGTCCTTACCCCCAATGTTTGTTACACATATGATATTAAAAAATTAACTTGGATTTTCTTTAAATTTCTTTAAAGACAATTCATTTTTATTTTTAATTATTTTTTGAAATTAATTTTATTTATCTGTTATAAGATTTTTAGTTTTCCTTTTATCTATTACACCTGCCCCCATAAACTTTTGGCTGCTTTAGAGAAAGACAAAAGCGTAGCATATTATACGTAGGCAAAAAATTTTGGAATAGCACTTTATCGCAAGCTTTAATAACGATCTATTTGCCTCCGTGCACTTCCATTCCATTTCCTTCGAACAGTCATATTGTTCAGCTGAAGAAAAACTCGGGCACTGGAGCCATAGTTACTAGTTCCAAGCATCTTGGATTGGATTGACTTGATTTCATCTTAGCAGAGGCTCTGGTACATTTTGTTTTCGTTCAGTTTGATTCTTATCCGGATTGGTCCTTGGAAAAGAAACAATGTGCCCTGATTCGTAACTTCCTACATTCAGTTATGCGCGCTCGAACAATCCACTAATGGATCTTAATGAAATATGGCTGTGAGTGGTAATACTAATATGCTAATTTCTCTTATTGCTTTGGCTGCCGAAAAAATGCAGTAATTGGAGCGAAGATATGTATCTTGAATAAACGTTTGTGTTATGATTTTTTAGGTTCTTAGCTGAAGGAAATCAAGTAGTTGGGCAGTGCTATCTGAAGTGGAGTTCCTGCTGTTATGGCTTCTCAGAGAAACTTGTCTGAAAGTTGTTACATTCTCTTCTTTATTACTTCGGGGGTCTTAGGCTCAGCTTATTCATTGCACCGCATGATGTAAAACTTTAGCATTTATTCCTTTTCAAAAAAGGGGAAAAAGTCATCAGAGAAAATGAATGCATTCTCTCGGATTTGGATAAATTTCTTTACCTATGAATATGAAGATTCTGCCGGTTTTGTAGCAAAAGTTCGCATTAGCCTTTTTCTGCTTTCTTTTCTTTTCAGACATGAGGGGTCTCGTTCTTTTACACTCAAAGCAGAACTAAGTTCAACTTCAAGTGCTGACACAGATTCTTTACAAAGATGGGTTTTTGCCTTTTGTGCTATGAGGTTTGATCTTCATCAAGGCCAACTTGTTGAAGAGTGTTATCCACCTGGCTGTCTTACGCATAATGAGGAGCCGGAACTCGCTCATAGTTCATTTCCTGATTGTGTTACCCAGCCATGATTGTATTTTCTTTTTCAGATTTCATAGGCCCCCAGAATCTCATACAGGCAATGTTAATAGTGCCGCCGTTTCTAGATTCATGTATGGCTATGTCTTTAATAGACAGAGACGTGATGAAAGGCTAAAAAGAGGAGTAGAGCAGAAGTCTGTCGTAATATTGTCCCATAATCCTTATTCAAGTGTTTTTAGACCTTTGTTACAAATCGTAGGTCCCTTGTATTTTGACATCGGTAAGAAAGCTCTGGAGCATATTGCTTCTTATGTTTCAAGTTGGTCCGCTCCTGTTCCTGGTAAGCTAATGGATCTTCCTATTGGGAATGCAACTCTTAAAGTGAGCTTGCCTCCTCCCCATTGCCTGCCCATGCAAAGTTGTGTATCTTTAGAAGACAAGTCTTCTGTGGCACCTGTTCTTCCAAGTAATCAGCACATCCCACAGGGTCTTCTTCATGATTCAGATGTTGTTGGGACATTCAAAGGCCTTCTGTTGCGGCTTTGGTTGTTATGGGAGTTGTCACTTATTGGTGAACCCATTCTGATCATTGCACCCACGCCTCCCGAGTGTGTTGAGGCCGTTGCCAGTCATGAGTTTAGCTGCACCTTAATTTGTAGTGTTGACTTTCGGCCTTATTTCACAATCCATGACCCTTTGTTTGCACATTTAAACTCGCTTAAAGAAGGTGAAACTTTCCCCCCAGTGATTTTAGGGGTGGCTGACATTTTGCTCCCCAAAGCTCTTCCTAACTTCCCCCACGTTGTTTCAGTGGGAAGCCCTCCCAAATCAAGCAGGTTTTCCTTCTCAACTAGATCTTCTTCCACGGGCAGATTTTCTGGTTGACCAGATGGTATGAGACTTTCACAGCATTCCTGGAAGAAGTTTTCTCCTTCAAGTTTATTGGGCATAGTTAAGTTGCGGAGAGATGGTCCTCTTTGCCTCATGAAAGAACATAAAGAAGCCGTTTGGAGTACTTATTCTGCCATAACTAGGCCGGACAACTCTATCTTAAATAGGCTCATAGATGCTGGGATGTCACCAAGAGCTGAGAAGTCAGTATCAGTTGTTAACAATAAGATATTGCGAAGGCATTTCTTGGAACTCACTACTAATTTTCTGGCCCCTTTTAGTCCGCATTTTAGGACTACAACACCATTAGAAGGATCTTCGCCATATTTAGACCGGCCTTCTCTTCCTCAATTTAATGCTGATGAGCTATTTGCAAATTTATCTGCAAGAAGTCCACGGAAGTTCTTATTAAAGCGGATGGCATCAAACTGGCTTGTAACTTGTCATATTTGTGATGACTCCCTTTTGCCATTTTCGTACACATGTAATTTACTTTTTGACTTTGCCTTAAATTTGTATGCTGATTTGATTGCTATATTTGGTTAACTTGGTGTTTTAAAACTTTAGACTTAAAGATGATAGAGTATATTTATCAGGCGGTTCCTGAAAGGACCGAACTTTATGACATGGTTTCAGAGGAGGCGTGCTGTTGCTGAACAAGAACAAGAGAGATTGTGGAGGGATGCAAACATGAAATCTGACATACAAGGTCTCATATCTAAAATGTCTAAGCTGGAAATATTAGACACTTTTGATGCTATAGAGAGACAACTCCTTATAGAAGTACAGGTAACTGTTTTCTCAGGGTCCTTCAAATATGTCATGCAATTGCTTCACTATGTTGCTATTTGCCTACATGGATTAAAGATTCTATGTCCAAATATCTTTAATTGGCTATTAAATTTAGTTATTACTATTAAGTTTAAGAAATAAAGCCTTTGACATGGATACTTAAATATATCATGGGTTTTGAATTTATGGGCCCTGGGATCATAGGACGGATTAAGAAATCAATGCTTCTTCAGGGAAACCTATCATTTACTCTATTAGTTTTTTTATTCTCTCTAGCATTCCCTTACTTAGGCTCGAACGTAGTTTTGTGAGGTCCTGGCGCCTTTTCATAATATATGTGCCAGCACGCATGCATTTATTGCTTCACGGAGAAATCTGCTAATGACAGAAAAAATAGGTTATGATGTGTTCATTATACTCAAAAAATAAGTTACAACAACAACAACAACTCCCACCACAACCCCCTTATCTTACTTGATAAGGTTAGCTATGTGAATATCATTTACTAAGCATTTAAAAATATTATTAATTAAGAGATCTTGATCAATAATTTTCAAAAGTGTTTTTTTGAGACTTTTACTCCTTTTAACAGCATTGAAAAGTATCTGTTTTACTCTCTACACGGGTGCCTCCTGAGTTTTTTTTTTTTTGGTACATGTCCAAACCATCTTGTATGTTTATTTCAGATTTTATCTTTATGTGTATGTCTGCCTATCCATCTCAACATTCTCATCTCTATTACTCTACTTTAATGCTTTTGCTGTTTCATTATAGCCCAATATTCACTATCATATAATATTTAATTTTATAATAGTTTAATAAAACTTTTTTTTAAATTTATTAGGTATTAGGATCGCCTATTGGTACAGGCCTAAGAGAGATTATTTGTACAGGCCCTTGACCGGCAGATATCGACATAGACACGCCTGTTTAAACCTTCTGGCTGCCCTTGTTCTAATGCTTTTCATCGGACCTACAGGTTGTTGTATGGATAAGGCTTTTTTTTTTTTTGGGCTGTAACTGAAATATATTTCGTGATTTTATATCTTTTGAATACCATCATCAGCTACAGCAATCTGGAAGGGATGGTTTCAGTTCGACGGCAATTTATCATAAACTAAGGGCAGATTTACAAGTTGTTTTCAATGTACTTTCAAAGGACAAGCAACAGACCATTCTTTCAAATCCACAAAGGGCATCCCTTCTACAAGGAAGTTCTTAATTGACCTGGCTTCCTTGCTGCCCACTCTTGCTAGTTGCGGTTGTCTCTTTTATATCACCAAGGCAAACAGCAAAGCATCAATCAGGTGGTTTTGTGTATATACAGTCTTCTAATGTTGCTGCAGCGCACACTTTTACTTGTTAATAGCTTCTTCATGTCGGACTTAGACAAGTTCTGTGACTTTTGATTAGTCATGTGAGGTAAGACTCAATTTCACAGATTTAATTTTCCTTTTCTTCAGGCATACTTAACAAAACATAGATGCTAGATTTCATGTTTCTCTTAAAAATAAACAGCTGCAGAAAGCGCCATTTTTTTTTTTTATATATCCGCTCCAGATGAGGATGTGGGATGATTTATTCCTCGGCAAGAACGCATGCATTTGCAAGCACGATTGAACGAAGATTTTCTTTACTATCAAACCATTGTTACTTGTTTAAGGGCAAGTTAAAGCTTCGTGTTGATAACAGGGCTATGCCTCTATCCAGTACCAAAATAAATATACGTAGGTGGGACTGGTGCGACTGTTACACTTGAGGTTAGTAAATGTAATTGAATTTTATGCGTCCTTGATGATGTAAAACTCAGTTTTTTTTTTCTTTAAGTATGAAATGGGTATTCAATTGGAAATTTTTCGTTGATGCTCTCCAAGTGCCCCACTTGCCTTTTGACTTGCTACTCAAGTTTCAAACTGAAGCCCTGCCCCAACAATAGGATGGAGAAACCTAGGCTTTGCAGGATTCTTTTGCCTTTTTGAAATACGATTTTGAATATGTTTGTTCCTAACTAAACTGAAAATGCCCTAACTTTGAAACTAAACCTTGATCCCCCCTTGTTTTGAAGCTGGGTATTGATAATTTTTTGGAATAGTTTTTTTGGTATTAGGGTCCCCATTTTAGAGTTTTTACTGTGCTGAAGTACTTAATTTATGAAATGAAGGGTCTATACTGAGGCACGATTTATTTAGTTTGAAGTTTCTCAGCAGTCCTAGTTTTGTTTGCCTCTAAGAAGAGAAGTTGCGTGAGGCAAGTAGTAAATGTAGAACCAGAATGGTAGCGAACTTTGGTTGTTTGCATTTCAATATCCTTAATTAGTGACTTCGGTTACTGAGATACAATTCATCTGAGCTATCACTCATCTTGATTACTGTATAAAAAAACTGTTTATTAACTAACTATCATGTCAATTGGTAATAGTGTTGTTGACATATTGATACATATATAATGCTCCTCTACTCCAATATATTAGTTACTTTCTAAAGATATAATCTAGTTCATTTTATAAGTCATGATAGAATTATTTTGTTTTAAATTACCTTTAAAAATTAAGAAAGAGAAAGACAGAAAAAATAATATTATATTATTTGTTTGCTCCTTACTTTTTACTTAATAGTTATATGTTAAATTTCACTTACTTTTATTTTTTATACTTTTATTGTATTGATATTGATGAGATTGATAGAAATAATTTATAAATAAAACTGCATAAAATATAATTTTGTTCCCAGACATTACTCGTGTTTTATGAGCATGCCCATTGGTTCGTGGGACGTCACTTACTCACGTGGGGTGTTATGTTACTGTAGGCAAATGAGTGCATGTAAGCAGTAAGAATACGCAAGTTTGTCTCTTACCTTATTGTAATTGTCGATATTTAGTAACAGCTCTTTCAGTTGCCCCCAAGAAAAAAACTGTGTCCATGTTTTATTGTGTTCTTTAAAATTTTATGCATTTAAAACATTTAAATGATTAAAGCAAAGGGAAAAAAAAACTAAGAATAAATTCTGGCATACAGAAAAAAGGTCACCAATTCAGTATAAGAAATCAAATGTGATAGAGTAGATCATCATGTTATATTGAAGAACAAGCTATTTGAGTTGTATGGACAATTAATTTATTTAAAAATTAAACGTGTTTCTAGTTTTTTACCAAACTTGTCCATTAATTTTAAAAAATATATGATAATTTGAAGTATTAATATTAAATAAATACAAAAATTAATCGTTATTTTTAAAAATACTAAATTTATTATCAATTTCTAAGAATTATATATAATGAACAGTATATAAGTTTTCTCCTTGCTTTTCGGTCTAAGGTACAGTGAGAACACCTTTACCGATGATCGAAACGTGAATAGATCTGTGTATGAAGATGACAGCACAAGTGTGGTTCTTATTATGTTGAATTAGGAAACGAGAATTGGCCACGTCTCTGGTTTTGCTTTGGATATATACATATAATATCGGACTTCTATTAGGTGTGTTGTTGGAATTTGAACATCTGTTGGGGCAATTTCGGAATTATGCATTGGCGGGGCGAGCAACTTATGTCCATTTACATGCCCGAGTTGCATATTCCCTTCAACCCATTGATTCACCTTTTTTTTCCCGCAAGACCCATTGACTCGCCTAATCCAGCAGCTTTCATATATGAACAAAAAGCAGCCACAGTTAAATCTGATTATTCTCAGACTTCTTGAAATTTTGAAAGGTGACAAGAAAACTTTAATTGCTGTCTGAAATATAGAAGGTTTTGCCTAATTAGCTTTAATCAGAGCCCCTAAACGTGATTAGCTTTCAAGTCATTATCATGGTATGGTCTATTCATCAGTATGGTCGAAATTCCATGTGATTTTGGTCATTTTGAATGAAAGAAAGATTCTCTGAGCTATTCCTCGCTCGTTTTGGCCACTCTTCATCATTGTAGGGTCTCTGTAACATTCAATTCACTGATCAAAAAGGGTTTGTGTAGTTGGAAGAAGAGAACTAACAAGTCTCAAACTCTCTGTGCGAGAGAACTGATTATAATAGATACTGATAGATACTGATGTGAATTAGTGAATATGATACATAAAGCATTTCAGTATATTTTTTTAAAACAAAAATTTAGATAAATTAGATCTAAAAAGATTACTAAAGTCAAGGTGTGTTTATAAGTTAAAAGAGCACTTATAAAGATTATTTATTAACAAAATTTTTATATTGACAATGAAATTTAATCTCATAATCTTAAATTATAAGTTAAATTCTTATCAATTAAATTAATTTTTTTAATTATTTTAACATAATTTAGATATAATAGGAATTTGTATATGAATTCATATAAAGATTGGCAGCAAAGAAGAAAGTGACGTGTTTGAAAACGACAAAAAGCCCATCTCTTTAATTACAGGGAGTGGTCCTCTCTAAAATTGACTGTTTGATTCCACTATGCATCTTAACATACACACACTGCTGCTCCTTTCTCTCTCCGTTATCCTGCGCACCCCTTCTTTGTCTAACAGAGACAATTCCACAAATCAAATAATGTATTTATTTTATTTACACCCTGAAAAATAAATATATGAACAAATAATGTATTGCATACGCGCCCATCAACAAAATTTTCACCATTTTCATCACCAACCCAAGTTTTGAATCGAACCCACAATTTGCAAATCCAACCAGAACCCACCATGTCATCACCAAGTGGAATCGTTTGGAGCTATGAAGAAGAAAAGGCGTTTGAGAATGCCATCGCAATGCATTGGGATGAAGAAGACTCAACAGAACAATGGGAGGAGATTGCTTCAGCTGTTCCCAGCAAAAGCATGGAGGAATTGAAGCAACATTACCAATGGTTATTAGAAGATGTAAGTGCAATAGAGGCAGGCAATATTCCACTTCCCAACTATACTGGTGTGGAAGAAGCCACTTCTTCAAGTAAGGAATTGCATGCTTCTTCTTCCAAGGCTTCCACCTCAGAAAAGAAATCCAATTGCAATTTCAGAACTGGGTTTTCTGGGTTGGGACATGACTCATCTGGCCATACTGGTAAAGGAGGTTCTTCAAGATCTTCAGAACAAGAAAGGCGAAAAGGGATTCCCTGGACAGAAGAAGAGCATAGGTACTACCCCAATTACAGTTTCTTAATTTCTTTACATATCAACATCAAAATTCAAAACTCCCCCACTCAAGATTCCATTGGCCTCATGAGCTGCTGTTATCAAACCTCCAAGAGGGTAATAGAATATGAGGCATCCATGACTAGCCTAGTTCAGAACGGTCTGAGCTAATCGTGCTGGTTAGTAAAATTGAATGTTAAGATGGAGTAGCATATTGTGTTTAACTAGTGTTTTATACTTTAATCAAATACACCAGCCTTGAAATTGTGTAATGTTTCCATGTCAAATATTAAGGGGTCTTCAAATGTCTGCTGTTTCAGGCTATTTCTACTTGGTCTTGATAAATTTGGAAAGGGAGATTGGAGGAGCATATCAAGGAACTTTGTGATGTCAAGAACCCCAACTCAAGTGGCAAGCCATGCACAGAAGTACTTCATTAGGCTGAACTCCATGAACAGAGATAGGAGGAGGTCAAGCATCCATGACATAACAAGTGTGAACAATGGGGATGTGGCCACTAACCAGGCACCAATAACAGGGCAGCACACAAACACAAACCCATCAAGCACAATGGGTGCAGGACAATCTGCAAAGCATAGGGCTCATCAACCCCATATAGCTGCAGGTATAGGGATGTATGGAGCACCAGTAGGGCACCCGGTGGCTGCTCCTCCAGGGCATATGCCTTCGGCTGTAGGGACTCCTGTCCTGATGCCTCCTGGACCCCATCCTCATCCTCATCCTCCTTATGTTGTTCCAATGGCTTACCCTATGGCATCTCCAACAATGCACAGATGACTATGCTTGGATTTCTGGTTAGTTTTCAGTATGCACTCAGAAGAGGAGCAGTTCCTCCTTCATGTGGAATGAATCTAATGGCTGTTGTAGTTTAAATTCTAATTTAGTCGAATTTTGGTAAAATCATTAGTACCGTGAGAGTTCACAAGTAGTAGACTCTGTTTAAAGTGTCTTGCCCCTTCCCCCGTTATACTGCAAGAATATGACATGGTGTACATGGTTTTGGAAATAAATTCATTGTAAACACCAACGAATCAAAGCAAATAAATTTATCTACTTCTGGGCACAAGAGCACTACCAGTTTCATCAATATTATCATAGCGCTGTGCTGTACGTGATGGGTACTTTTATTTATTTATTTACTTACTTAAAAACAAAAAAAAAAAAACACTCGCGCTTAGCATAAAAGTCTCCTCAAACACATTTGAACCAGTAGTTACAAGCCTTTCACGTAACTACATGGCATGGGAAGAATTATTGAGGAAAGATATAGAGATGAATAAGAAAAAGTCAGGTCAGCGTGAAGATACATACAAGGAATGTCAGACACAGTTTATGATGTGTCTATCTCTAACACATTTGTGAGCATCTCTAATTCTCGATTGGTTCGGTCTCAGCTTTCGAAAAATCGGGTTAGAACACTCAACACTAGGCAGAGGGAAGAAGCGAGTCAGCTGGAGAGGAGAAAAAGCAGAAGTAGACAGGGAACATGTCCGACAAGATCCAACTATCCAGCTCAAAGATTGTCTGTCAGGTCATGAGCATACCAGACACATCGAATCCATCATTTTTTATTCCATCCCAGGCTAGTTCAGATTAAGTTCGACGCAGTCATTGATATTTTGCATTGACATTCCTAGCATCTAATGCAAATTTCTTCCCATTTTCTCTTTGATTAATATTGATTAGGAGAGTTTTTATCTCCCACTTAGGAGCATTTCAGCCAAAGAAAAAGGTTAAATAAGTCTTAACCATTAATATAACACCTGCGAGGGGCATACTATTTTTACTCCTTCATTACCTTTTTCATATCCATCTTGTCCTTCCCCTCCTCCAGGAAACCCAACAAAACTCAAATCAAAAGTTGAAAATATATCACTTGAATTGCCATGCTAATGGTCAAGCAAAAATGATATTAACCAGAATCTAGATGGAATGTACAATACAAGGGTGCTGAAAATTACAAGGTATGCCTGCGCATATCTAAAGTACTCAAGAAGATCACTTCGACTTTAAACGTAGACGGCCATTAAGAAAATGGTATATGAAACTTTTTCGCCCCCATTTCCACCATATTGGTAGCTGGACACGGTGTCTCTTCTTACTCTGTTTCCCTACATACAAAGGAATAATGATTAAAATTTTCCCTTAACTACAAGGACTTTTAACTTCCATATCTGGGAAGGCAAAATTATTTAAAAACATCTTAAACGCAATTTATAAGCATTCGCTATCATGTTCTCCGACAAAAACAAAAGTTCAACTGAGCAACGTGTGCTTAAGAATCTTTAGGAAAAAGGTTTTTCACCATATGCTTTTATAGAAGAATTTGATAGCAAACACTTAAATCTCTTTTCACAGTCGCTTCTATAGAAGGCCAAAGGTTTGTTAAACGCAAACCAAAGATAGTTCCTCACTTTTTTCTCCAAGACAGTACATTCCCCATTGTGACTGCAAATTCCCAAAGATTGGTTCTAAAGAAGGCCAAAAGTTCATCTGAATTTTGAGGACTTCCAAAACAGTTTGTAGGCCAGATTTGGAAGGAAAGTTATTTTCCAGCTCAAATTCAGGATTCTCACCCAGCAATACCTTCATAATGGATAGATAAACAATACCAAGTCAGAAACCAGGAAAAGACAAAGATACACTCCCTGGTGGAAATATGAGAACATACTATTACTAGCAAAAGGATGTACCTTGATCACTGCAGTGGCAGAAGATGATATAGAGCGAAGATTATAACTGCATAAAAAATAACAATGTCAAGTTGAAGTGAAATGCAGATCATAATGGAATGGAGCGGGTGTTATTTTAATTCCTCTTCTGATGCTTGTTTGTGTGTGTTTATTAAAAAAAATCATAATGGAATAAACACCAAAAGCATGAATTACGAACCCCCCCTCAAGAATGACAAGTAACTTTCCACCAGAAAGGGCATTTAACATTTTAGTCATCTGCGCATAACCATTGGGAGTGACCTGCATCATCAAAGGAAAATTTGAAAGTTGGGAAAACGCTTATTTTAGTCATTTTTAGAACCCCAGGAAAAAAAATGAAGCAGCATATTCAATAAAAAGAAGTCAAAGCTTAAGATTGAATACATTCTATATCCAATTTGGTACAATTCATTGCACGGTACACAGCCTGTGATTTCGTCCATTAATGCAACCAAAAATTTTTATCAAAAGAGGAAGGTGAATAAAGGAGACTCTTACATCACAACATCCTAAGGGATCACCTCTTGCAGCATCAAATCCAGCTGATATGATAGTGAAATCTGGAGCGAACTGAGAAGCTAAAATATACAATTCAAACAATAAAGAGGTTCAGGCAGATATCAAGTGCTTTCTTGACATACAATTCAGGTGGAAGGAGGAATATACTACAAAATGGAAAGAATTAATGCACGTGCAAGAAGGCTTAATCATATACAGACGTTTTATGAATTTAATACTTACTAATTAAACCATCCAGGAAAAAAATGTGAAGCCCTTTTCACATTTTTTAAAGTCCTGCCAGAGCAAAAATTCTATGACAGCTTTATTTTATTTTATTTTCTATTTAATTTCTTTGGCATTGAACACAGTATGGTAGCCCAAAGACCCAAATGTTCATTAAGATGGAACTTCCACTTTGAGGTTCCATCTAAATCATCAAATGTTCATTTCCCGTCTAAAAGGCAGTCCTAAAATTCCCAAAGCCAGTCCATTTTCTTTACAGCATCAAACCTTCTATAACAGAAATTACAAAACATTAATTGTGTTTGGTTTTCAGTTTGTCAAAATTCCTTTTATCAAAAGTTAGTTTGGTAAAAGTCAATTATTGTAATGGGATTTATGTTTACATACATTTTTTAAGTTAGTTTGGTAAATTGGAAGTTTTTTGGAAGGTAAACCATACCAGCTTTCACCATCGGAAAGTAACTGAAAGTTGTTCAAAAACCAAAAGCAACTTTTTGAAAAGTAACTCAGATTCGCTTTCGGAAAATAGACTTTCAGAAATAGTACAAATGGATTTTCTGAAGCTACAAAATATGCAAACAAATTTTCCTGAAAGCTGGTTTCCCAACAGGACTTTTGGCTTTCCAAAAGCCATAACCAAACACCCTAAGACGAACCATATATATCAGTTAACCACCATGCATGCTACTAACCTAATGGAAGGACAACATGCTGAAATGCAAAAATGTAATCATTATCTCCAACTCCTCCTCGGCTCCATGGAATATTGACACAGTGTCCTTCTGCACCCATGGCACCAACCTGCGGAAACGAACCAGACTAACTATTACGTATAACAGCCCTTACACATTAAAAAACATTTCTAATATCATTAAATGAAATACAATCGCCAGAATGGTTAGGTAAGGTTGAGCCAAATGAGAAATGGTAAAATTAAGGGATAAACAGATGAAAAATTAAATGTTAGAGCACATGAAATGTGTGTGTGGGTGTTGTAACACAATAAGTGTCTAACTTACTCAACTCCACCATGAAGAGAAAAATAGATAAACGCATACACCAACAGCAGGCATTCCATTATGGCTCACAACAATCAAGACGCAAGTCCAAAAATGAGCAACACAATGTCTGACATAGTCAATATTCTTCTTAAATTTTGAAAAACAAGCTTAGTATATCGCTTGACATTGCAATATTTCCTAGATATTGAATAGGATAAAAATGTATAACTGATGAAATAGCAAACTACTCCAACAATATGGACACCACTGAATTTTCCAATGGATTAGCAGATCAGCTTCCAAAAGTTCAATGCACCACTTCTACACGGGCCATCATGCCCAATAAGCTTATTAAATCAATCCATATATCCATAACTATATATACTATAAAATCTATAAGCCAAGACATTCGTAAGCTATGAACAATAATACTTGCCTCACTACAACACTCTTCAATCTATTAAAAAGAAAAAGAAAACCACATTTTCCACTTATATCAGAACAAAAAGCACCTGGCTGAGGTGGCCAGCAGCAGCAGGTTAGTTTCAAAAATTGTCTGCAAGCATATACCTCATCAGCAGCTCCAGTACCAGGATAAAACCTTCCCCCCTCATGTCTATGCAATGATATATATAAGACCTACAGAACAGTTTAAAACTCATCAGGAGTATAAAAAGGAAGTGCATCACTCGTGAAGCCACAAATAACTTCAAGAAGAATAAGATAGTATTCAAGAGAAAATAACAAGAAGCAGGGAAAGATTAGCACATTGAAGCAGGTACCTTAATGATAAACGCAATTAGGGTTTAAGGGAAGCAAATAGCACAAAAGTTCGACTCAGCAAATAGCACAAAAGTTCGACTCATCAATTAGTTGCACCAGAAATAAATGATCAGTTCAAAAGATTCATATGCAAAGAAAATAATAAAGTATTATAACCACACAGCTCACCGATTTGTTTTGCTCAAATATTTCCTGTGTCCCATTGCCATGATGAACATCCTGTAAAAGAATGAATAAAGTAAAATCAACTCATACTTTAATAGCGTGGCACATAACCTATTAAAAACTGCCTTCAGAAAATCGCAAATCATAAAGAAATATTATGAGTATAGACTTTACCCAATCTAGAATTAGCACCTTCCTAGCCCCTGCAACCTGAGCTGCTAATGCTGCTATTGCAGCATTGTTATGAAGGCAAAACCCCATGGCCTGTCTAACACCAGCATGATGACCAGGAGGCCTGACCTGGTTTAATTAGGAACAAACATAAACTTAGTACAGAACAAACCTTCAAAAGTTCCTGGCTTGAAATGCCATATTGCCACATAACAGGTACAGATCAATGGTGTAAACATTTTCAAACCAGAGCAAACCCATTTTTGGCACGTCCAGAAACAATTGCTGATGCCAGGTCAGAACATAAACCAGCCGCCAGCCTAGCAGCTTGAGCTGAATGCTCGTTGGCATATGTGTCAGGAGTGAAATAACTGCAATCACAAAAGTCATCAATCATAATGAGAATACCATATCAACTCAATCATAATGAGAATACCACATCAACGAGTCAACATCCAACAAGAGCATAAAAGTATATTAGCACAAAGACATTTAAAGAAATATGCTAAAAGTTGCCAGTCAAATAGAGGTTACAAATAAGGGTAAGAAATCATGCAAATTATGAATTTTTGAAGTCATTGCCCAGTAGAGGGCCAATAATATGGTAAGCAATAATACAATTAAAGAATTCCATATCTCGTGTAGTTTTGAAATAAAAATTGATGGGTATAGAAAGGCTACTGTTTTAGAAAGAAATACATCATTAAATTTGCATAACCAGGTCAACTCCTCCCACCACTTCCTCAAATGATCTTCTCGAATCTTGATAGCACAAGAAACCAGTTTAAATCATTGTAGCACATTAGAAATGTCCAGATTCCCAGATGAAGAGGGAGTGTTTAACATACCTAGAAATCATCTGGCTTGTAACTTCCACCGATTCAATGTGTTCCAAAGAATGAACCTTCAATTCCAAAGTTCAAAGTTAAAATTGGGTTCATAATACTAATTCTTAGTCTTCATATTCACTGTAAGAATCAGGGATGAGAAAAAGGTGAACAAAAGGGGCACAAGTCCACTCATTCAGACTGCATGGCCCTTCTTCAACTAAAAATCATCACTCCAAATATCAATTTCATCAAAAAAAAATAGTTCCAAAGGCAAAGGAAGTATGAAGTATTGACATATCAACGCCGCCAAGACATTGCAAAGTCAATTACCAATTGAAGTTCTTCTAGACTGATCTCTCTGGCAGAAATCGGATAGCATCTTCCAGGAAATATTCCTGTGTGCATCAAATTGGTGAATTGATCAAGTGATTACTAATACAACGCAACCAAAATAATAACACACCAATGCATGTCATCAAACATGAGTTAATATGCCATGGAACTTATACATACCAGCTGTAGCAAAACTGGCAGCAATGGCTTTAAGACGATCTGGCCTTTCAGGGTGTGGGTGTGACTTCATCTGAACCTATGCTAGCCAACAACCACAGCAATCAATTAGCAAATAAACAGACAACAAATTTTTAGTGAGACGCCAAACTTGGGTGACTGTGCAGCTTACATAGCATAAAAAATATTATCAGAAATCAGTGCTACAAAAGTGAACAATTGTAGAATGAAAACCAAGGCACAAGCAACAAAGCTTTTTTATGTCAGCCAATAGCGAAAGAAAAAAAACGAGGGGTAAACAAAAGTGATGTCCAAAATAACATTCAAAAACAAAATATTATACCAACTATGTTTTCTCAATGGCTATCTTTTACTTTTCATTCTTTTTCATTTTATCTTCCTACCATCATATCTGAAGAACAAATTCACAGAAACACTACAGATGCAATCAACCTTACCATGGTTGCACCCACTGGATTTAGCAAAAATTGTTACCACTGAAACTAATGGAAATAAACCAATTAAAATATTCCAACAAAGCATCCTATTTGTCTCCACAAGGACAGTAACATTGCCCATGATTGAATGAAAATGAACAGAAATTTGCCAGTAAGATACTTACCCATATTGAAAAGCTTTATTATGAACAAACTATATGTGCTAGCTCTAGTTATAAAGCATAACTTCAATTTGATGGCAGCAAAAGTACGGAAATAAAAAAAAATCAGAACCATACTTCTGCATGCAGCAACATTCTCTCATCAAAGCCAATTGCCGTGGTAGGACTTAAAGCTACATCTTGTGTGCCAACTTCTAAAAAGATAAGGACAAAGATAGAATGAATCTCAAACAACTTAGCAGCATAAAACCGAATGAGAACCAAAGAGTGCATCAAACCAAACAACCAATAAATAAAAATAAGAACATCTTAGAATAAAACTCCATTTACATCTTAAAAACGCCATATTAATTAATTAATTATTCATAAAAACAATAAGCAAAGTCCTTCAAGAAAAATTTCACCAAGAGTCATTCAAAAATTATGTATGCAAGTAATTTTGAAAATAAAAAAAATCAGGAGAAGAGTAAGTTTTTCACAATCAGGAGCTTGATAGGCAGAGTTTTCAGCATCTTGGATGTTTTAAAGCTACTGGGGTGGAAATCCTAACCATCCTACACCCAAATTTCAAACCACTCAATATTGGGATCTTTGAGAGATTTGGGGATCTTTTAAATTATTAATTTCCTTTTTCAATCAGCCCCATGTGCTATTCAAAACAACAAACATCATAAAGATAATATTGAAAATTTCTTCCTTCAAACGCACTCCCACCCATTAATGACATTTAACGTCCCATACACAGAGACTAGGATATTATCCATTTTTGCATTGAACTTCCACCCAATGGAGTGGGTTGTTCCCCGCACTCCCTCCTTCAGAACTCATAACCAAGCCCCTAAGCAAGAATACAATCGCTGGAATGGAGTATTCTACACTGCTAGCAGCATATAAAAGACGCTAGTCAAGAAACACTGCTTAAAGCTCAATGAAATTGAAGAGGATCCTCCCACATTTATAGAACTGCAACGTTTAGGAAGGGAGAGAAATTAATTAAGTTTTCCAAGATAATGTTATCCAGCTTCTACTTTTTCTCCATGCATTAAACAGACTTTTGCATCGTCCATTTCACTATCTAACCTCAAAAAAGTGAGGAATGGCAACACAGTGATAATAAATGTTACGCAGATAAAGTAAAAATAGAATTTCAGCATTGATTGATATGGCAGCTTAAACTAAGCAGCAAAAAGGAGAACGTTTTGTCATATTTGGAAGAAAATCTAATCAAGTTGCTTTGAGAGACCACTATTATCCATTTTACTAAATTAGACATATAAAATTTAAACATTTTGGGCAAAAACACATTTATGAAGGGATGATGTCATTATTTTTGATCATATTACGCAATCTAACTAGCCAAGCATGCATATAAACATCTTAAACCTTCTTTCATTTTGGGCTTTGCCTCAGTCAGATTGCTGTCTTCAGCATAAGGGGATGCGAAAAAACCATAGCTCAGGATTTTGGAATCTCTATGTTCCCCACATATCTGCAAGTAAAATAGAGCAATATAATCAAAAGCAATTCATCATGAAGAAATGTCCAACAATTTACAACCAAAAATGGAGTTCAAGATAGCTAACTAACCATTAAAAAATACGAATCGCTTATTAAAAGCCACTATTTAGCATAAACTACAACAAAAGAGCATGTTACAAACATACATCACAATGGTCGATATCATCAAGGTTAACCATCGTGCAGTTTGTGCAGAACCACTTAATAACTTCCAAACTCTTCTGTAAGGGCTCCCAATCACTGTCATCATCGTCGTCATCAAACATGTCTTGGTTTTGATACATATCCTGAAAAGTCACTTCCTTCTGCAGCTGGCCCTTTTCTGTGGCTAAATGATAATATCATATGTAAAGCCATAACAGATTTCAGATGTTACACAACAAATGGAAGCAAAAATTTCATCAACACAACTAAGATTCCAGCTCACACTTACAGCATCAGGATGTATATTGGCTTCAAGGCTGTCTGAAACTTTCCTTGGGTTTCCATCATTCTCATCAGAAAGCGAATTTTCACATCCACAAGTAAACCCTTCAGCGGGAACTTGATCAGATTGCTTGCAATGACTGTTCTCAGCTTCCCCATTTTTCAGACGATTCATTTCAATTGCTTCAGCACCCATTTCACATATACAGTACTAGAATAAACCTTTCACCACATTCCTTCGCGATGACCTAGCTAAAGTCCCTCGAATTGCGTTAAGCAACAAAAATTGAAAGCAGTACCAAGATGTAATAAAACCCGAAAAAAATGGTCATAAGTCAATAGTTGTTACAGGTCATACTCAATAAACGATAATATATATGTTTCTTATCTTCCGAAGTACATCATACATAAGAAAAAGTTAAAAAAAAATCCATTCGAGAAAAGAAGATAAAATGAAAGGACGAAGAAAAATGGTGAAAGGAACCACCTTTTGCCAGGTAAGCGGGTAGCAACTAGCAGGAACAGAGAAATTGGGGCGAAATGGAGGGGAACAGATTTGGATGAGGAATTAGAGCTAGGATCTCTCATTTACGACATTAAAGGTGAGAAAGAAAACGAGGTGCACACGAGCACGAAGGACGAAAGAAGCCTTACCGGTAGAAACCAGCAGCGACGCACTGTGGAAATTCCCACGGCGTCGTGGACTCGAGACTTTCGGAGGCTATAGGTCGAAAAAAACACTATAGTGTGTGTGTTGTGCGCACATTAATGTATGTATACCCGCAAGTGTCCATGGACATGCGTATGAAAGTGAAGAACATGAAAATTATAATATTTATTATTTATAAAATATTGTTTAGATATCATATAATATATAAAAGGCCAAGATTTATATATTTACTCTTATATACTTTCTCTGTTTAAAAATATAAAATTTTTTAAAAAATTAAATATTTAAAAATGTAAGATATTTTTATTCTTTCGATGTATAATAATTGTCTTTCTTTCAAAAGTACCCCTATTAATAATGACTTTATATTTATTATAGGGTGTTTGATAGGGATAAATATGAAAAGATAGGAAGTTTGAAAGTGGATAACTATTTTATCAGGGATGAGATTTAGTTAAAAATATCTTACATTTTTTAACGGGAGGAGTAATTAATATACATTATCCAATCAAATCAAAATATGTAAACTTTAATATATTAATATTAATATTATTAATAATAAAAATTTATTAGAGAATAAATAATTTATCATAGATATACATGTCTTAATTTAATTAAAATAAACATTTTAAATATATAAAGTTAAGTATATAAGTTCCTGCATAAAAAACCAACTTAATACTAATTGGCTTTAAATTTATATTTATATTCAGTATGATATATTAATGAAGTTTTGTTTTATTTTCTGCCACACCATCGAAGTATTTAGTGCTCTTTGATTAAAAAATTAAATAAATAAAATATCTTGTGCAATTTTCATATTATTTTATTTTTATTATATCAAATTAAATTACCAGCATCTCCTTGTGATGAGTTTGTTTTTATTACAGGGACAAGGCAAAAAAAGCAGTCTAATAATGAAAAATTCTTACACGTAACAATGGGTCATTGAGAATCCGAATGCAAATAACTACTTATTTTATTCTCATAAAAAATTGTTTTAAAATTCGTTGGTTCGTTCATATTAAAGACTGGAAAAACAATTTGTTATTTTAAAATATTTAGATAAAAATCAAGCAAAAAGAATGGAAAATGCTCAGACCACAATGCACAAGCCAGCGGTATTCATTGATATATATATATATAGATAGAAGGTACAGGTATGGTACAGTGATCCACATGACCTTATCAGAATCCTAACTAATCAGATAATTAATGAAATAATCCTATGCCTCAACGCTCCCCCTTAAATGAGAGGGAGTGATAAACAATTTGAGTTTGTCTCTATAGCTAAAAAACGGGGATAAGCTAGAGGCTTGGTAAAACAATCTGCCACTTGATTGTGAGATGGTATATATTGAACAACAAATGTACCAACTAAAACTTGATTTCTCACAAAGTGCAAATCAATTTCTATATGCTTTGTTTTGGCATGTTGAACAGGATTAGTAGCAAGTGCATTAGCACTAATGTTGTCACACCGTATTACAAGAGGACGTTGAGGTGAACACCCTATCTCATATGATAAAGAACACAACCAATTAACCTTTGTTGCTCAATCTGCTAAAGTTTTGTATTCAAATTTTGTGCTTGATCTAAATATCACTCTTTGTTTCGACTTGCCTAAGCAACTAGAGTATTTCCCAAATACATATAAAAACCAACCACATATTTTCTATCATCCACACTGGCTGCCTAACTAACATAAAAAAAAACATTCAAATGAAGATGAACAAGAGGTTTTATATGTAACCAGCAGTGAAAAGTATCCTTAAAGTATCTAAGAATTCTCTTAACTACTTGAAAGTGGACATCAATAGGCTGTGACATAAATTGACCCAGCTTATTTACTAAGTAGGCAATATTCTGGTCTTATGATGGCAAGGCACTATAAAGCACCAATAGCTTGGTGATATAAAGTGGCATTTTCTAAGGGTATTCTATCAGAAACAAAGATGTGTTTACCAGTTACTATAGGAGTTGAGACGGAGGCAACATCTAACATGCCAAATCTCTTTAAGATATTAAGCATATATTTAGCTTGATTTAGATAGATGCCATATTGATCCTTAGCAAATTCAATATCCAAGAAATAATAAACTGGACCTAAATCTTCCAGAGAAAATAGGCTATTGCATTTTTGAACAAAAGAAGCCAAGTAAGAAGAATTATTACCTGTTACTAGTATGTCATCCATATAAATTAGAATGAAAATGGTCAAGCCATTTATTCGCAGCAAGAACAATGAAGAGTCGCTCCAAGCATTAACAAATCCCCACCAGAGTAATGTAAGACATAATCAATCATACCCCACTTGTAAAGCTTGTTTTAGTCCACAGATTGCTTTGATCAACTTGTAAACATGATGAGATCAATTTAAATCGACAAAATCCTCTAGTTATCGCATAAAAACCTCTTCTTGAAGGTATCCATTCAAAAACACATTATTAATGTCAAGTTGACAAACTTCCCAATTGAAAGTTACAGCCATAGTCAAGATTATACGCATCGTGGTCATCTTTACAACAAGATTAAAGGTCTTGCTATAGTTAAAACTTGGAGTTTGTTGAAAACCCTTTGCCACTAGTTGTGCTTTGTGCTTCAATAGAGAACTATCAACTCTGAACTTAGTTTTGAAAACCCAACAACAATCAATCACCTTTTATGTTCTTGTGTACGGTACCAACTTCCATGTTTGATTTTGTTGTAGCATAGAAAATTCTTCAGCCATCGCTTGTTGATAGTGAGGATGAGCAAGAGCGTCTTGCACTAATTTAGGTTCAGCTAGGTCTTTAAGGGATTTTGAGTCTTCAAAAATAAGAAGCCCGACAAAAGGATGTCTAGGCTTGAATATACCATCCTCGACCCGTGTTGATATCGCGTGTGTGCTTAAAGAAGGCACGTGAGGTATGGATGAGACTTCAACAGGTGAACGCAAATCATTGGAGCTCAATGATGATGTGGATAAGCATGGCAGCATCTAAGTGGCTGGAATAGTTAACAAGTGAGGCTCCATAAAGTTAGAAGGAGTCAAACTTCTCAATGATGGAGAAGACGAATGCTTGGAATTCGAGGACTTATAAGACACTAAAGATGATGACACCTCACTTCCTAGAGAGACAGCAATAGTATTAGTTAGTGAGATCATGAGAGGAACCTCTAAATCAATACAAACTGTAGGCATTTGATTATGCAAAAATCCTATAACAAAAGAAAATACAGAAGCAACAAATACAATATGTCTAGAAACGTAGACTTGACCAGAGAAACTAAGACACCTATATCCCTTTTGTTGTGAGGCATAGCTTAGAAACACATACTTTTGACTATAAAATTGAAACTTATGAGTATTATAAGGCTGTAAGCATGGATAACAAGCACAGTCAAAAGGCTGAAAACCTTTTTAGTTTGGCTCTGTCATGTAGAGTAAAAACAAAGGCGTCTGATGATTAAGCACAGGAGTAGGTAATCAATTAACAAGAAACACGACTGCTTGGAAGGCATCAACCTAATAAGTAAGAGGCATATGGGCTTGAGCAAGTAGTGTTAAACCCATCTCAACAATTCAATAGTGCTTCCTCTTAGCATGACCATTTTGCTGTGAGGTATAAGGACATGTACATCTTATAGTAATTCCATTGGTTTAAGCTATTCAAGTAATAGCATTATATTCAATTCCCATGTCACACTAAATATTTTTTATAGCAGTCATAATTTGATTTTCAACTAAGGTTTTAAAATGATTAAAAGCATGAACAGCCTCATTTTTATGCTTAAGTGGATGGAACCATGTATATCTACTAAAATCATCAATGAAGTGAATATAATTGATAACCATGAGAAGATTGAACAAGCGAAGGATCCCACAAGTCAGTATGAAATAAATCAAATGGTGCCGATGCATGAGATATAGAATTTGCAAAGGATAATTTCTTAGATTTTCCTAATTGACAAGCTTCACAAACAAATAGATTGTTATTGTGGTTAACAGTCTCATTACAATTATTCAAAATTTGCTTTAAGATCCTATTACTAGGATGTCTTAATTTTTGATGCCATTTAACTAAATCAGCAAAACAAACTTTTGGTATTGTAGCAACATGAGCTTTGGGTAAATCAGCGGCTTGTGGTACCATTGGATACAATCCTTCCCTTGGTCTCCCTTGCATCAGTATCTCCCCGATTACCTTGTCCTTCACAGTGCACCCAGAAGACCAAGATAAAAATTAGGCAAAAGGAATGGAAAATGCTCCGACCACAATACACAAGCCAGTAGTATTTATTGATATATATAGGACAAACGGTTACAACTATGTGAATACAAAATAGACACACATAGAAAGACAAGATACAGGTACGGTACGGTGGTCCACATGACCTTATTAGAATCCTAACTAATCGGATAATTAATGAAATAATCATATGTCTTAACACATTTGATATGAAATAAACTAGAATTTTAAAAATGTGTTCTAGTTTAAAATTTATTGCCCTGTAAATATAAATAATCACCTATTTTATTTTATGATTTTTTATCTTCCTACATGTTAAAAATATAAATAATGATATATGATATATTAGCCGGTTTCTATTTTATTCTGTTTTGTTTTTTATATGCATGTCATCCGTGTCTTAGAATCCGGCAAAGAAATAAAACAACTATGCCTAGGATATGGCTTTTACGTTGTCTCTTTGGAATCATGTCGCCACGACACACGCACTTCTTGTTTTGTGTGCAAGAAATATATCTTTGAAAATTCAGAATTGCCTTGAACTTAGAACTATAATTTAATGATTTGATTTTGATTAAAGTACAGATTCTTATTACTCGGCATGGAAGTAATTGCAGAGTAGTATGATTTTGATGGAATAGGGCATGTAGCTGTACGAAAGATCAACGAAATTGTCATTATCGAATCGTGTAGGCTCATGTTTCACGCGAAATTTTTTGAATATAAATTGATAGATACATAGATTTAAAACACAAAGTTATTGTTTTTATCTTAATAAAGAAACATGAGAGTGGAATTAAACGCATATTTACGTGCACAATTTTATTTAACACCGTCTCTAGTATAATTATATGATATATGATATCTGGTAATATTACTGAGTAAACTTGAGAATTGACGAACTTAATTAATAATAACTCTCAACATGATTTGTCTTCACTCATACAATTTAAACATCAATTAAACCTTTAGTTAATCTTATTTAAAAGAAATCAAGTAGCTTTTATTCAGCACAACCATTTTTGGTCATGTAACTATAATACATGATGAAAAGACAATTGTTTAGACGACTAAAACACATTAAATTAAATGACAGCGCGACATTTTTGGCTCATGATAACAAACGAAAATCATCGCCACGTGGTAAAAAAATTGTTTGAGATTTTAGACGCAGTATTTGTCATTTATCTCACTATAGGCAACAAATTTGTCATTCATAAAAGAGCCAAAAAAGAAAAGAAAGCAAACCAAATTAACACGACTTGTATTATTTTCCTTCTCCTCCGTGCATGGCTAAGATCCATCTATCATTTCCTTTGCAGCCAACATGGCCATTCTCTGTAAAAGAGGGTGGATATGAGGAAAAAGATAAAAATAAAAAAAGGGTACACGTAAATTTATGCTGGAAAGTTAACAATTTTTGAGGATTCTCTTCAATCCTTGTCAGTGTGCACAGTCAATGCATGTGCACTTGGCGACGTATTGAAACATATTCATATTTGGTTCGCTAAGAAAGAGTCCTTGCATTCACATTGCACAACACAATACGCTTCCATTTCTTAAGCTACCAAAAGCAGCAGCACTGGACACCGTATACGCAAGCAGATAAAAATATAGCATGCATGTCATGATGAGACTATGATATCACTGATATCGTATTACACTATTCTAAAAGAATTTAAAGGATGTGATCGTCTTTATTTTTGGTGGGGTTAAAGTGTCTGCCGCTTTGTGTCTTTGTGAACCGCGGATATACATTTTTTATTTTGTAAAGTTTTAGACAGCATTCGTTGGCTAAAAAAGAGTACTTCTTTCATGGTTAATTGCTTAGGCCAATGAGGGGCGTTTATTTTACTCTCTCTCTCTCACTCTCCCTCTCTCTCCCGGTCTTGTAGCTGTGGGAGGCACTTTTGGTCGGCTTTAGAGCCCTCTGATTTATATTTAACATTATCGATGCCAAGTATGATGAAGAAAGAGCTTAACGATACTGCGACTCATGCTGGCATTGCCAGTGACTCTGGGATGCCTTAATGCCTCTCGTAACTGAATAACTAATAACTGAATAAGGAACGAATATTTTATCCTGTGCTTTCGTCTTGTACGAAAATATAATTCTTGGGGCTCACATATTACCTTCTCTGCTAATAATCCACAAAGCAGAGCATCTCGCGATTATAAGTTCTGCTGCGAAGAGAATTCCTTCCCCTTTTCTTTCATTTGATTTACATTTGGTACCCCAATCCCATCTATTTAGGTTCTTCCATTATTCTTGAATCTTCGCCGGATTCGAGGAAATCCGGGAAAGGAAATTAAAGATGGCATTAGATTGTAGGTATCAACTAATGGTGTTGCTGCTCGTCTTCTGTGTCATGGCCTCAGGGGGTCTTGGCGTTGGAGTGAACTGGGGAACTATGGCTTCCCATCAGCTGCCTCCCGAGAAGGTGGTGAAGATGCTGAAGCAAAATGGGTTTGATAAATTGAAGCTGTTCGATGCGGACGAGTGGATCATGGCGGCTCTGATGGGGACTGATATCGAAGTGATGCTAGCAATCCCCAATGACATGTTGGAAGAGATGAGTAAGAATTCTAGTGCCGCGGATTCTTGGGTCGCTGAAAATGTGACCGGTTACTTGTATCCTGGTGGACTCAATATCAAGTTGAGTAGTCCTCGTAGTGTTTGTCTCTTTGTCTAGCAGATAGTTTTTGGTTCTGCGGAAGTTTTGCATGCTACTGTTTTACACAATACTTGCTACCTCATCCCCCTTATCCCATATTCTGATATTTTCTTGTCTGAATGTCATATTTTTCTCAGTGATATCTGATTTTCCATTAAAGATTCTGCTTGCCTTCAGTTGTTCTTGGTCAAAGTATTGGTTGTATCCCAATCATTCATAGAAATCATTAATCCTGCTAGTCACAGTCATTTTCTTTGACACCACACTAAATAGCCACAAAACTACCAACACCTTATTTGAAGGTTTGAGTTTCAATCAATTATTCATCTGGCATCTATTCTACTACTGTGGCGCAGTGAATAAAGGGAAAACAACGCCTTTTAACTGGTTCGAATTTTCTTCTTGTTTATTTCTAACGGTTTCTTTTGAATGCTGTAAGTCATATTTGAACTATTCTTTCTTGCGTGGATGATGTTTGCAGTTTGCTACTTGCAGGTTTGTTGCCGTGGGTAACGAGCCTTTCCTTAAAGCATATAATGGCACCTATCTGCATACAACTTTCCCAGCTCTTAAGAACATACAAACATCACTCTATAATGCTGGCTTGGGTTCAAAGGTTAAAGTCACAGTTCCCTTCAATGCAGACATTTACTTTTCCCCTGAATCAAATCCAGTGCCATCAGCTGGTGACTTCAGGCCTGAGTTACGAGACCTCACTATTGAAATCATCCAATTCTTGTATTCATGTGATGCCCCTTTTACAGTAAATATATATCCCTTCCTTAGTCTTTATGGCAACGACAACTTCCCCTTTGAATTTGCATTTTTTGAGGGAAACAGCAAACCTCTTAGAGATGGAAATTCACTTTACGCTAATGTTTTTGATGCCAATCTAGACACTCTTTTATGGGGTTTAGAAAAGGCAGGGTACCCTGACATGCAAGTCCTCATCGGAGAAGTCGGTTGGCCAACTGATGGTGATAAGAATGCTAACATTCAAAATGCAAAGAGGTTCAACCAAGGTTTGCTTAAACATGTTCAAAGTGGAAATGGTACCCCTAAAAGGAGAGGGATTATTGACATGTATCTGTTCAGCCTCATTGATGAGAATGCAAAAAGTGTTGCTCCTGGCACCTTTGAGAGGCACTGGGGGATTTTTGAGTTTGATGGGAAGCCAAAGTATGAATTAGATCTAACAGGTCAAGAACTAAACAAGGGTCTGGTTCCTGTGCATGGTATAAAATATATGGAAAGACAATGGTGTGTTTTGAACACTGATGCTGGTACTAGTGCACTATTCTTGGCTCATAGCATTGACTATGCTTGTACTCTATCTGACTGTACTGCGCTGGGTTATGGATCTTCTTGCAATAATCTGAGCCTCCAAGGGAATGCATCATATGCCTTCAACATGTATTATCAAGTACATAACCAAAGGGATTGGGGTTGTGATTTCTCTGGTTTGGGTATTATAACAGATAAGGATCCATCAGAAAACGGATGCCAGTTCCCTGTGATGATTTCTTATGGTTCTTCATTGATGCATGGAAGGCTATGGGATATCCTAAGGAATACTGTGGGTGTATGTACCTTGATTATTATTTTGCTTTAGCTGATAGATTTAAGAAGTCAGTTTAAAATGTGTTATGGCAGATGCAGATTTTCCTTTTATTTGAGCGGCTCACTTTGAGCATTTAAAAATTTGTTATATAAAGTAGAATTTGCAAAACTCTAGGTTTCCCAATAGACTATTTTTGGATATTTTTCTCTACCTTCTTTATGAATGTTTTCATGGGGAAAGCTCTTGCAATGCAAGCAATGATCTGGATTTCTTTCCTCTTACTTCTATTGCTTCTAACCAAGTACATTCCTTTTAAGCTTTCTTTTTCATTCCTCCAAATGCAGATATTGCTGTGCAGAGGAAATAAGGAATAGTATGACCTGAGATCTGAAATTTTTGATTTAAAACCTTATTGTATTCGGTAATATGAAAAATTTACAATCATTTGTTACAAGTAGTTGGGAAACTTTCTGGTGGAAAATTTTTTAAATACTATATGTTTTCCTACTTTATAATTCACTAAATATCCGTTGCATAGTATTCCCTATGAATCTGCTAAGGGAGATCAAGTATCACTAAGCCAATTAGTCTCGATTCTAAAACATAATTGGGGATATTCAATAACGTGAGTATAACAATCATAAAATATAACAACTGTGGAAAGATAACCTGGATATTTATTTATAGAATGACTAGATCTTAATCCTTGGATTACTCTTCTATAGTTTATTATATAATGATTCCTAAATTGAATAGTCTTTGTTTAATTAGAGATAAATTTGTTTTCCCTGATTCACAATTCTAATCAAATTATGAAGTTACAGCCTAAACATTTACAAATCCCTAAAGTTATTTATAATTTAGCTAATCACTACGTGTTCCTAAGCTATTTTTTATTTGGTTATATGTGTTCGCATTTCTGTATTTGAAATATTCTTTGTCTTTCAATGCATCAATTTGACTTATTAAATGATAATTAAACTAAAACCGATATGTGTGTGTGTGTAATTCATATTAAGAAACAAGATATCCATGGCCAAAAGAATGACCCTTTACTACTTTTACATGCATGTAACACTACTATGGTTACACTAACGCTTGGTTTAGAGTGATAGAAAAATAAAAATAAAAAATAGAGAGGAGAGACTAATAGAAAGAAAAACTCTTAGAAATAGTTTAAAATAGGGTGAATAGAGTCAGGAAACGAGTGAACCAAGTCCTTAAACTCAATTTCCTTAAAAATAGTCATTTTTTGAAGCCCAACCTTTAATGATAGGGCTTGGGTGAAAGCCCATAAAACTATTTTATTTTTTTTAAAAAAATAATATTAAAAATAAAATAACCAACTAGCTAAACAAGCTACAGAATTAAAATCATGATTAGGAGCCATAAATTATAGGGCAAGAAAGAACCAACAAAAAAAACAAAAATTCAGAACTAGAACAAACATTTGAGGCTCTTGAGAATTTAAGATTCAGAACAGGAAATTCAACATTAATGGATATAGTCACAGAATCAGAGAGGTCAAGATTTAATATCACAAAATCAAAGCAAAAAAAAAAAAAACCAAGAACAATAAGAAGCATTTGGCTAATCTGGATTTATTATCAGTCTTTAGAGATCTACCCAAATTTGAAATGAGTGCTTTTTGAATGAGGAGCTTAACAGATGACGTAGTGAGTTTGTTCATTGAACCCGAAATCTCAATCTTAAAGACACTATTAAGGACACAACTTTGTTCATGGAGACACACAGCCAGGGATGTTGAAACTAGGGACACCGAGTATAGGAACAGGGAACAGAGTTAGATTGAGATCCAAAGGCATTATGCCAAAGGCAAGATGGAGATGACAAATCACGGCACTGCTACATTATGACGAAGGCGAGATCATGATCAAGAGGTTGGGGGTGATTGAGCAAGATTGAGAGGCTAAGAGTGACTAATTAATTGATGAAGACACATGCAAGTTTGTTCAGATCAAGAGGCGTAAGAGGAGAAGAGAGGGAGATTGAATAGAGGAGTGAGGCACAACATCAACTAGGGTTTAGGATTTGGTTTTCCTTCAATGGCTTAAGCTGTGCATTTTGACCCTGGCCGACAAAGAAAGAGAGAATAGGCTTGGAAGGCTACTGCCTGGGCCCAAGCTCTTTTTTTAGGGCTTATCAGGGCCGGGCTTCAAAACCTAATTTTCTAAAAAATTATTAATTTCTCAAGCTTGAACTCTTATAAAAAACGGGTTTAAATGAGTGACCCTCCAAGGCCGACCTCTATTCTCGACTCTAGAGGTGAAGGTTGACCTTTTTAAAAAAAATTCAATTAATGGGTAAGTATGAAATATAACAAAATGTTTGAGGGTAAAGTGGTTAAAAAATTTGGCTTTTTTTTTTTTTAAAAAAACTCCAATTTAAAAGAAATTATTAGAGGAGGGGAGGGAAAGGGAGGTGAGGTAAGAGAAAATTTTGGAGGACCGGCTCCCCTCCCTTTCAAAATTTCTTAACCAAATGAGTGGATGGGAGCATTTTCCCTCTCCTTCAACACCTCTAACCAAACACACCCTTATATCTATATTCTTCAAGTTTATTTTATAATATATATATGTATATGTATATAACATAAAACAGAGCATCATTTGTAAAAAAGAAAAAGAAAAATCCTTCCTTTTTTCCCCTCTTATTCATTGTGGATTTCATAAATTACACAAATTGTAAAAAAATAATCTTATAGAAGTATAGTAGCTCATAAGAATTAGATGATTAATCGGTTATACGATCAAATGGGCGCATAGGAATCGTGTTGAACACCAAGCATTAACTTTGTCACCAATAAGAGTCGGTAACCCTTGCCATTCCCCTTAGTAACGGCAAAGTATTATTTTCTCACTGAAAATAAATTGATTAAATTCAAATAAATTGCGCATCCTTTGCCTTTGCTGAAAAAAAAAACAAAATTCAAATAAATTGCAGCCGAACAACGGCACCATGCCAGTCCAAAACGGTCCACATTTGAATTTAAACTCCACAACGGACATTTCCAGTACTAGTATATCCCATTACTTCTTCGGTCGCCTTCCCATCGTCCTCGTGACACTCACCAACTCACGCGGCGCACAATGGCTTCCCTCACTCAAGGAATCCTTCTGAAACTATTGCAGGCCATGAATTCCAACACCCGCGTCACCGGGGACCACCGATCTGCCCTTCTCCAAGTCATCGGAATCGTCCCTGCTCTCGCCGGTTCCGACCTCTGGCCCAACCATGGCTTCTATGTCCAGCTCTCCGATTCTCTTAATTCCACTTACATCTCTCTCTCTGAGCGCGATAACGAACTCATCCTCACCAATCGTTTACAGCTCGGCCAATTCGTGTACGTTGACCGTTTCGAGTTTGATTCTCCTTTCCCTTGTGTATCTGGTATTCGGCCCGTTGCTGGCCGCCACCCATTTGTGGGAAGTCCTGAACCACTCATTGCGCGAATCTCGGCTTCCAAACGGGAATTCGTGATCCAACCTGTTTCGGATTCGGATCCGTCCATCGACCCGATTGCCCTGTACCTCTCTAGCAAGAAACCTGAGCAGGCGCGAAGTGATATCAAGGAAACGAAGACGGAACATAAGGTTGAAAAGCTTAAAACAAGGCAACCTCTAGCCCCTCGAGATAATTTGCCATCGGGAAATTTGGATGATACCAAGGTTCCGGAGAAGCCTCAAAGGTTCTCATCTCCCGCAACTGCAAAAAGATCGGCATCTGCAGGGAAGAAGAATGTCACAGTGGCGGAAAGAGACCCTTCACCAGCGGGAAAAGGAAAGAGGTCGGCGTCACCGGTGCCATCGAAGTGTGTGGTTCCCAGCTTAGTTGCTGCACGTGATGAGAATCGCAAGGCATCAAAAGAACCTGCAATTATAGTGCCGTCAAGATATAGGCAGCCTTCTCCGAATGGGAGGAGACAGGCATCGCCAAACGCAAGAAGAGCTTCACTTTCTCCTGGGAGAAGGTTATCCGGTGGTCTCAAGATTTCTCCCATGGTTGCAGGGGTTGCAGATTCTGCAAGCAAGAAAAAGATGGCAACTATTGCTGCTGGAATTTCGAGAGTGTCAGAAGCACTCGTGGGACCTGCAAAAGCAACCAGGAAGAATTGGGATGAGCAACCAACTGTTGCAGCACCTGCAGAGCAGAAAGAAAAAAGTGTGACTAAAAGTAAACTTGATGCCCAATCAATCTTGCGTACACAGGTAAATACATCAATGGTTTTGTTACGACAGAAAAGAAGCCAACTCCTGTACTCCATCTATAATTCTATTTGTTGCAAGGAACTGAAATTTTGTAAACTACTGACAAATATATAATTGTGAATTTGCACATCACAATAACACATAATTAAGCATAGACTAGTGACTAGGAAACGTCTTTACACCGGTAATATATGGATTTATATTTGTATGCTTGCGCACAGAGGCATGGTGCATGGGTTTATATTTTTGTATATCTAGTTTTTGGAGTAAGGCACCTGAGTAGGTCTATGTCTGTTTGCTTCCTAGCTCCACTACTATTGTGTTTGGTTACAACATTATTTTCTATGCCTCTAATTAGTTTAAACTGACACCAATAACATTTCCAGGCTGCAATCTCAAGGAGATTAAGTGATGTGAATGGTCAGAAAACCAGTAGCAATGACTCTTCGACTGAGGAAAAAACTAAATCTCATTCCATTGAAAGATATCAGGCTCAAGCAAAAAGCAATTTTGCAGCTCTAGGTATCACCATTTATGAGAAGAAATGGACTGACGGCACGGTTCCATTGGATGCCGTGTCAGTGAAACTAGCAAAACTTGGAAAGGTATGGCCAAAAAGTTAGAAATATACAACTAAGTTGTAGGCATGATCAAGACAAGCATGAAAATGAAATGATTGACATGGCTTCTAGGATCATGAAAATGATAAACAGTAATCACTAATTACCCTGTATTTCGATTAATCACTTCAATTCGATGAATAACATGAGAACTCTTGTTGTCAACTCAATTCAGGATGCATTGCAAAGGAAAGCCCTAGCTTCTGCAGTTGCTGCTCAAGCATTGGAGGAGGCCAATACAACTGAGTGTGTTGTAAGGAATTTAAGGTAATGATACTTTCTTCCTCTTCTCTTGTCATTAAATTAAATTTTCCAATTTATGACTTTATAAACAAAGTATTGGATCTGTTATAGGAAAGGTCCACTTTCAATTGAAAGAGTCAAGGTTCATATTAGCACTTCGACCATATTTTACTTCCCTCTAACATGGATTTTTCCCCTCCTGCTTACTTTAGCATGTTTTCAGAGCTCTGTTCTGTATGCAAGGCCACAAATCCGTTACCAACCATAGACCGGTTTTTTACAATCTATGATGACGTTCTGAGATCAGTTAAAATAGCTGAATCAGTTGTGAGTGGTCATAATTCTGAGGCACTTGATGATGGGTATCCAACAGAACAATCAAAGTCGCTCTCTCTCTGGGTTGAGGCTGCCTTGGCCACTGATCTTCAGGTAGTGTCCCTCCTAACCGGGAGTGACGCCAACCCTCCATTAAACTTGCAAAGGAGTTTGTCAAAAGGAAATCCCTTGGAGCAACCAAGAACAATCTGAATATGAATGCCACTTCGTCAACGAATTCCAATCCTATTGTTGGGGGGTGGACAGCGGGCAGTGGAATGAAAGAGACAGCAGAGCTTGGAACCAATTTGTTGTCTGAAATGCAAATGTGGTTTCTACGGTTCGTTGAGGAGTCCCTGGATGCTGGATTTAAAGTATTTGGGGAAAAAACTTTACCTTTGGATGGTGGTTCTATTGCTGTAGTTTTATCTCATTTGAAGCGAGTGAATGAATGGTTGGACCGTGTGGTTTCTAAAGGGGATGACTTGCTGACAGACAAGATAGAAAAGTTGAAGAGAAAGATCTACGGCTTCGTGATCCAGCATGTGGGAACAACTTTTGATAGCTGCTCATCCCCTTCATCATGATTTCCTGGTACTACTTTGATTTATGGTTTGGAAGTTGAGAATGTCGAAAGAGAGATGCTCCTTCAATAATCAGATTATTTTGTTCTAATTTAATGGAAATGGTTTGGTTAAAAAAAAAATTAATGGAAATGGTACTCATTTCATTATGTAAATGAAGTTTGGCTGCAGTATTTGTTCATTCTTGTTATGAAAATTTTATATCAGGGTGATGTAGTTCTTTCAACTGCAAGTATGAAGCAAATTGAGACGGGTCGCTGATTTTGGTTATATTACCTGCGTGTGTATCTGGTTCTCACTTGTTTATGCATATATATGGGATAAAATCCGGCTAATGAACCATGATTTAGGTAGTCCTGAGAGTTTCTCATCATTTTGTCTTGTGATTATGAAATCATGAATGACAAAGAAAAGTGCTATGTTGCTATTCTATCTTCAGCTGGGAGGGATGGTAATTGTTTGATGTTGTCAGATAGATTGGGTTAGGATTGGACCATAACGCGGACGAACTGAGAGAATTATCAGGTCCGTCCAAGTTCACAATCTTTTTTTTTTTTTTTTTTACCAACGAGGTTCACAACTTCATTAATTAGTTTTGAACTAGAGCTCGTACCCCTTTCATTTTTGAAAGGCCATTTTCAGAACTTTTTAAATGACCAAAAAGGAAAAAAAAAGGGTGCAAAGTTCACAAATATATATATATATATATATATATATAAAAGTAGAATCACAAGCAACATCTTATAACAACACATGTTTTTTATTATGTTTTGTTAAATTTATTTTTAAATGTTTAATTTTTTAAAAATGGATAAAACTACCTTATCCTCAAATATCTCTCCATTATCTCAACTTCCTAAAAAAGTATAACCATAAAAGCATCTAAAGAAGACATGAGTCTCTAATTTTGTTTTCATCTATTTTTAAATTTTTTATTTTTAAAAGCAAATAAAACTACCTTATCTTCAAGCATCTCTTCATTATCTCAACTTTTTAAAAAAGTAGAATTGCAAGTAACATCTAATAACAATACATGTGATGTGTCCATAATGCTATTTTCCTTTTTTATTTTAAATTTTAGAATAGATAAATTTATCTTATCTTCAAACATCTCTCCATTATCTCAACTCTCCATTTATATTTTACTAAAATAAATTATTTTATTATTCCTAAAATATGTTATGACGACAAGCAATCTGTCATCTAATGGTTAGAATCAAGATTAATAAAATCTATTCGTCATTTTCATTATATTTACTTTATCGCTCTAATATAAAATAATATAAATTTACCTTTTAAGTTTGACACATGTCTAATTTACAAAATACTATAATTTTAAATAGTCACACCAAACTTTAATAATGTTATATAAAACAATCTAATTTATATATTTAAAATTTTCTTATATTTTTTCAAAATTTCAAATTCCATAGTCTATCCATTTTGATCATAACTTCCTAGCTTCCTAAATAAATAAATAATCATAAATTTTTAAATTTTATTTAAATTTAATATTTTTAAATATATAAAAAAGTATCTACCATAAAAAAATTTAGAAAAATAAAAAATAATCAAACATTATAATTCTCCCTACACCTAATTTTAATTATGTTATATAAAATTGGGTAATTTATATATTTAAAGTTTCCTTATATTTCTCCTAATTTTCAGACTGCACAATCTAACCACTTTAACCATAACTTCCTAAATGTTATTTAAATTTAAGATTTTTAAAATATATATAAAAAAGTCTCCACATGAAGAATTTTTTTTAAAAAAAGTCCAACATTATAACTTCCCCTACATCTGATTTTACTTATCTTTTTATAAAATAATCTAATTTATATGTTTTAAATTTTTGAGATATTTCTCTTGATTTTTTAGATTTCATAATATATCTATTTTAATCATAACTTCCTTAATATTATTTAAATTTAATATTTTTAAATTTACAAAAAATAAAAATAATCAAACATTATAACTTCCGCAATACCCTGAAATATTCTCTATTATCATGTCTACTACCTCCACCCAAAAACTTTCTCACTATCATATCTTTCAAACTTCACTTTTAATTTCAATGCAACCATTATATACCACTTTTAAATTTAGTTTTTAGGATGCTAACAATTTTTTTTAATAAAGACACAAAAATCAAAGGATAATTTGCCCATATCATCATTCCTATGTTTACTCTCCTTGCTCAACATGAATGCAGGATCCAAAGCTATGAAGCACACCAGGTTGTGATGGTTTTTGTGTGAAGTGGGTGAGAGGTTAGTGGAAAAGCTGCAAAGCATGTTTCGATATATAGAAAATGTGGACAAGTTGTTGACATTATTTAGAATGTTGGGAAGTTTTGGAGAAGGGATATTCTCATAATGTTCTTAATTTCTTAGCAATGTGATTAATGCATGTGGAGACCTAAATATTGTTTTGATAAAGCATGAAAATAACTTTAGCTTCCTCAACAAAATATTCATTTTATGCCCTATTCATTATATGCCATATTCATAAGTAATTTCCCCAACATGTACTTAATTATGATTTTTAATTGCTATTCAATTTGTTTCTAACAAACTTTAAAGTTACAATACAATAAGGTTATTACAAGAGAAATTGTTGGGAAAAATTGCAAAGAGATAGACTTTTAGAATGAGAATGAAATACTTAAAATCCATACTTCAACTAAAAGGCAAATTCTTTGACACTCAAGTATCAAGTTTTTCAGCAACATATCAAGTTAACTCTCTCATTACACTAGATGCCAACTCAATTTAAGATGCTTTAAGAGAAAAAGTTTCATCTCATTAGGTTTTTTCTATCAAAAGTGAAACCAATTTATTTGATAAAAATCATCATTGCCTTAATATTGATTTAACTTTTTTTGGATAGGCTCTCAAATTAGGAGAGCAAGTTGAAAAAATGATAAAGCATGATAAAGGATCAACTGAATGAGAAGTAAGATTGAATTGAGTGGTTGCAATTTTGAGGCTCATTCATAATCATATTGATATAAGTGAAGTATATGTCATAAGTTTTTAGCATATTGGAAAACAAAATCCTTATAGATACATTTTATAATTTCATTATTTACATTAAATATATGAATTTGTCCATTATGGATTGTGAAGGCATTACTTTTAGAACACATAAGTTCTTATTTTCGTGATTGATAATACCAATAGAGATTGAGTTCTTGAGATAAGAGATGAGTCACATTAATTATTGAATAAGGCATTAAGTTGTGTTCTATGACTTTTTATCATTATGCATTGTGATATTATTAAATTTTGGTTTTTGTAATATATCTAAATGTAACTTAGGAGTTAATCATTTTTATTTAAAGGCAATTTACTCTAGATTTTAAGTAAATATCATTATTTATTTAAATTATTTTCTAAATTTTCACATCCCATGCATCGCACGGGTTACACACTAGTTCCAATAATAATAGTAAGTTAGAATCAAGAAAAATATATCTATAAATCCTTATAATTTTACTTAATTTTAAATTAGACCCCTACAGTTTATTTTATTTTAATCAAATCCTTATAATTTTACTCAATTTGATCTATTATACATAACCTCTAAAAATTAATAATGAATAATTAAATGTCATATAATCAGTCATTAATCTTAATGTTATGCAATAATTTAATAAAAATATAAAAGTTATTAATTTTGGTTTTTAATTGAAAAAATTTAAGGATTTTAACTTTTTTGGATTAAAAAATTTGATTGATCAAATTATAAGGGTTTAATTAAAATAAAATAAATGGTAGGGATATAATTCAAAATTAAACAAAACTGTAAAGACTTGTAAATATATGTTTCCTAAAATCAATACATATATATTATACTTCAACTTTTAATTTATGATTTAATACATTTCAATTTCAATCAAAATAAACATGCCTTGCAGCTAAGTTGATCATATCAATTCAATTTCAAGCAATAATTGTCAAGGACACTCCAACAATTTTAACTCTAATAATAGATGATTAATAAACATTTAAGTTAGGGAATAGTTTTAATTAATGATGTGAAAGAGTCTACCAATTAATAAATTTTTAATGTTGATAATATATTTAAGGCTAAAGTGTGTCGTTAATCTTTTAACTTTACACAATATTTCATTTAAATTATTTAATTTTATAAAATATTTTTGTAGTTATTTAACTTTAATGTTGTTTAGTTTTATTAACACAAAACTCTTACATTAAATTTTTAAATATTAACAAAACATTATCAAATATTAATATATTAAGATTAAATTTTTTAAAATAATAAGAATTAATATAAAATTTATCATTTAAAATTAATAGTATTAAGACTAAAAGATTGAAAAAATGCTTTATAAAAATTAAGGGACAAAACTGAAAATTTGTGCAAAACTAAGGATCAAAAGCATATTTTATCCTATATTTAACAAAATGAAAATATATTATCAACATTAAACATTAATAATTAATTACATATATTTTGAAACATTAAAGGAAACATATATTTGCAAGTTCTTATAGTTTTCTTCAATGTTGAAGTTGGTCCCTACAATTTATTTTGCTTTAATTGAACCTTTATAGTTTGATTTGCTATATTTGCTAATCTCTAATCATTTTTAAAAAATAAAATTAAGTATTAAAATATTATATAAATTTACAATTAATGATATAATTTTTATAACTCAAAATTTGTAAAATTAGGTTGTCTTCTATATAATCTTCTATATAATTTTCATACATATAGAATTTTTGTAAAAAAATAATAAAAATATTCACATTGTATAAAATTAATTTTTTTAGCCAAAAGTATTAAGTCAATTTTTATGAACTCCAAAAATATTTTTATTTTGGGAAATTTAATCATTTATTAATAATTTTAACATTCAAGGATTAACTTATTTAATTGATCAAACTATAAGAGCAAAATTAAAATAAAATAAACTACAAGGACATAATTTAAAATTAAAGAAAACTATGAGGATCTATAAATATATTTTCCCAACATTAAATTTATAAAATTTTTGAATTTTTGATCAATTTATTTATATGAAATTTCTTTTTTTTGTGTGACAGTTATTGGAATTTCAGTCAAACAATTTCCAAACATTCTAATTGAAAAAAATTAATCATTAAATATAATTTAAATTATACAAAGTAATATTTGAAATAATAATCGTAATTTTAAAATATTTATAAAATACAAAGTTATTAACTCCTATTAATCTACAACAGTCTCACTATTCACCCAAGCAAATAACTTTATTTTTGCTCTAAATACTGCTAGCATTGTATGTTGATATATTGTTTCGCAAGAAAAGAAAAAGGGAGAATTACAACTAAATTTATATAGAAAAATTAATTATTATAAAATTTATTGACAACTGAATTAAATTATAAGTGGCTATCAGTTCTGACTCTCTTTACTAGAGGTACAAATAACATATAGAAATGTAACTAACGTTTATTGAAAAAAGCAACCCCAAAGATTTGAGACCAAAAGTAGTTAGCGGTGATAAAAAAGCCCTAACTCATATCGTACCAAGAACTAACTTGCTGCTATCTTATTAAAGAGTAGTCCTATCTTTTCTACCCTCTTGTCACTTGTTTCCTGAGAGAGGACGAAGAGGATGTCAATATAATTTAGTTTAGTTTAGTTGTCAGTGAATCTTGCAGTAATTAATTTTTTTACGTGAAATTTCAATGTAATTCTTCCAAAAAAAATTTGATATGCCGTCATTGACCTTGATTCTTCTCTCGTCCTTTTTGAATTATGTTGCATGTTCGAGTAAGTACTTTTCCATTCATTTCACGTCCTCTACCTACTACTTCCCAGTATTTGTTTTTCTCGTTTCTTTGTGGATTCATCATAACATTGACATGTTCTGTTTTCAAATTTCACGAATAAACTATAAAACTTTTGCACGAACAGTTTCATGAATATGTTGTGAACAAGTAAAGCGTGTACAGTTTCAGGAACTAGAGGTGGGGGATTTTCTCAAGTAATGACAGCAGGATTTCAAATGTCCCTTGTTTTCTTGACATGGCTTTTTTCTGCAAATTTTCTCATTCATCAACTATTGTTTCTTACAATAAAGGGTAAAGTAAAATCACACAAAGAGTGATGGTAAACCAGTTGGGAATAAAAATTATCCCACAGAAGTCAGTATCACACCTGGAAATCTTCATGAGTTTGGTCCTATTAAGCCAGGTGCTATCTTTTTATCTTCTTTCTCTTTCTTTTTCTAGAAAGTTGACCCCATCTTTGCATGTTTGAACAGGCTCCTCCTCTCTACAAATGCATCGTTTGACATGACCTTCTTCAGCACTCTCTCATGGCTCCTCCATGGGTTCAGGAGATTCATCTTCGTCACTTGAACATTCCTGTCAATGTTGATAACATGTTTTTAGTTACCCCGTCGAAGCCTATTGATGCTAAACCTGGAGATAGCCTATATCTCTCCAACCTTGACGACATGATTGGAGCTCGTGTGTTTACACCCACAGTGTACTTCTACAAAACAGATGAAATGCATTTTTGTGAAGAAAACCAAAAGCATCTCATTAAAACCCTGTGTGATGCTCTTGCTGATGTTCTAGTCCCTTATTACCCTCTTTCAGGCAGGCTAAGAGAGACCAAGAATGGGAAGCTCGAAGTGTTCTTTGAATCAAATCAAGGAGCACTTATGGTGGAAGCACATTCTGAAACTACATTATCTGAACTAGGAGACCTCACAGCCCCAAACCCATATTGGGAGCCCTTGATCTTCAAGTTTCCTAATGAAGAACCCTACAAAGTCCTTGACATGCCATTACTTATTGCTCAAGTAACCCTTTTCCGTTGTGGTGGCTTCAGCCTTGGTTTGAGACTCTGCCATTGTATCTGTGATGGGTTAGGAGCCATGCAGTTCTTAAGTGCATGGGCTACCACTGCAAGAATGGGGACCTTAGTCACAGACCCTAAGCCATGTTGGGACCGAGAGATGTTTCGACCTCGAAAACCACCAGTAGTGAAGTTTCCCCACATGGAATTTATGGGAATTGAAGAACGTTCCAGCCTTACAATGACGTTATGGCAGACCAAGCCTGTTCAAAAGTGTATTAGGATTAGCAAGGAGTTCCAGACTTGGATCAAGGCTATGGCTCAACCCTTTGATCTTGCAGGTTGCACCACTTTTGATGCCACAGCTGCACATATTTGGAGATCATGGGTACAAGCCCTTGATGTAAAACCACTTGATTATCAACTTAGGCTAACATTTTCAGTCAATGCAAGGCAAAAGCTAAGAAACCCACCATTGAAAGATGGGTTCTATGGTAATGTGGTGTGTGTGGCTTGTGCAACAAGCACAGTGTCAGATTTGGTTCATGGAGGACTCCCTGAAACAACTCGTTTGGTTCGTGAAGCAAGACTGGGCGTCTCTGAGGAATATTTAAGATCTACAGTGGATTATATTGATGTGGATAGACCAAAGCAACTTGAATTTGGAGGTAAATTGACAATAACTCAGTGGACAAGGTTCTCTATATATAAATCTACAGATTTTGGGTGGGGAAAGCCACTTTATGCTGGTCCTATAGATTTGACACCTACCCCACAAGTTTGTGTGTTTTTACCTGAAGGAGATGGTGATTGTTATAGTGGTTCTATCATAGTTTGCATATGCTTACCTGAATCTGCTGTTCAAAGGTTTCTAGAGGCCTTGTTGCCAAATTCAGGGCTGGCTTGAAAGTTGTCATGGTTCATTTAACCCTTTTACCCACTTTGTGAGTTCTTTAAGGTATCAATAGTGGACCATAATTGATGTATTTCAAGTTTCAACTTGATTTTACTTTTTTGCATAATTGTGATCCTTGTGGGCTATTTTTGCCAGAAGTGAAAGGGATAGGACCACCACACTACATTAGAAAGGGAGAAAAGGGACATTGGTTACAAACGGCATCATGTTTTTAATGGAAAGTTATTATTTTTTGAAGGTTGAATTTCATTTATACGCTTTTTAATGCTATCAATCAAATTTAAATTACAGATCAACATAAAGATAAAATCTTTGGAGTGTTCTTTTTTCCCCTAAACTTTGGAGTATTCTCTATTTTAGATTAACATATCTATTCAAGTATTAATGAATCCTTTTAGTCATTGATATAGTGAAGCGTGTGAACAAGATATTAAACATGGTTTAACAATTTGTATAGATATACTCACGAGTGTATTCAGGCATGTGGAGGTTTTAATTATAAAACACTTATAATGAAATATGAAATAGATAATTTAACATTGGTCTAGGTGATTATATAATTTTAGTGTTTGAATAAAAAAGTACTTGGCGTTGTCTAAAAGTTTGTCTCATATATATAAAAAGGTAAATATAAAATGCCAGTAGCTTAAGTAAAATTTCACAAACTTCGATCAAAAAATGATTTGATAATCACGCTCTAACATGCTTATCCATTCTATATGTGTGTTAAGTGTCGGTCATGTTATCTAAAGGACATGGCTGCTATCATTTTTAAATTTTTGAAGTTCCATTGGCCTTCCAAGCCAAAAAAAAAAAAAAAGGAGAGGAAAGGAAAGAGAGAAAGAAAAGTTGTTTACATGTCTGCAAACATATTCAAACTGTCAAGACCTCTGTTATAGGGATGAGGAGGCTGCCAAGATCATGTTTGAAACCTGCAACCATTCTCCCTTGGAGTTCCTTATCAGACCACCCTAAGCTACATGGTTCTAAGAAGTAACTGACGTATGTACATCAGCTCTTGTAGTATTTTCTAGTGGCGAGGAACATTCTTGATCACTCAAAACATGTTTACGGGAGATAACATGCTTGAAGGTTATCCATTGATCTTAAAACATTTCTATCCAAGGCTAGTTTATGTTCAACATTTCATCTAACCAAGTGTCTACAAATCAAAACCAAAAAAAACATGTATAAAAGCTAGTATTAATTAATTGTTTTCACACATATCTCGCTATAAAGGCGCTCATAAAGTATTTAAATGACATTCTCATTGCTTCGAGACTAGGGAGTAAATTTCTAGTGGGAGAAAGACCCAAGTTGGCTCTTAAAGTTTATGAGTATAATTTTTTTTTTTTAACTTTTTGCGAAACTAGCCATTTCCAATTCTTTTTCAAGAGGTTCAACATATTCACTAGCCTATTTGTGGACGAAAGAGTTAGCAGACTTGACACAAATTTACCATTTGAGGAGGCGCAGCAACGAGAAAATATTAATGTAGCTTCAAGTCATTAATGTGTATTAATGTGCTAAATAATGATCATGCGACCCCCTTTCACACGAGGGACTCCTAATGCTAAGGTAGTGTTATGAGAACTTTCATATTTTTTCCTCACCCCACCTCCTTTCTCAGCGAAAATGTGATTTCATTCCTTACAAAGATTTATCATAAACAACCTTAATCTGGATTATTATTTGCTTAAAAGATTGCAAGGTGTTGAACTAGCTTTTATAAATAAATAAATAAATATTAATGAATATTTTTACCTCTTAACTTTACTTGAAAAGTTATTAAATATTTTAAACTCAACTATAAATTAATGTTACTCGTGTGAGTGTGAAATACAGCCATAGCATCATTCATCCTCGAAAGCAGCTGGGATCTCTTGTGGACCACCATCATGGTCACCCTAGGAATGGAGCTTGAGCACATTCCCATGATGATGGCAACGCCTTCCCTGCACAACACTTGAAAAACAAGCGTGCATGAGTGAATAAGGATGGAATGAATGAAGAGCTTTGATGACCTCTTAGATGGCACTTAATTAGTTACAGTTGAGGTGATGAAAATGAGGCCGCTGATCATGCCTTAAACCACATTGATGATGGAAGTCTTGGATGAGGATGACGACAAGAAAGAGGAGAGGGAGAGGATGAGAGGGATGGTGAGAGGAAGAGGGAGGGGGGAGAAGGGAAGAAAGGGATAGAGTGAAAAATATATTAAAAAATTAAATTACGAGATTTATTTAAATATTTTATAATAAGAAGCATTAAAACATTTAAATGCAAGATCCACATAAAGGAAAAATAAAGTTAGAGGCATGGATGACTGAATTTTTATCATTAAAAAATAAAGTTAATTCATAATTAAGTTTAAGATGTTCAATAATTTTGTAGGTAAAGTTAAAAGGTAAAAATAAATTTTAATTTAATAAATAAAGTAACAAATATGATTTTAAAAAAGCCATATCTCATTTATAACTTATATATATATAGTTTTTGTGTGATGATTGTTAAGAGATAAAATATCATATTTAAGAGCTTTTCCATCAGGTTAAAAAAATAAAATAAAAAGCGCACAGTTCTGATACAAAGTCGTTGATAATTTTCATGTGAAGTATCTGTGTGATAATTCTTAATTGATAAAAATATCACACTTGAGAACTTTCGATTGTGCCACAAAACGAGGTCGATAAAATCATGCAAAAAAAAAAAAAAAAGTTCTGTCACAACTTGTGTGCCGATCAGTTAGGCCGTTACTGATAGTGCTGTTCATCTTTGGAGGAAATGCTGCTGTTTCAAGTTACAACTTAACGCGGGTGTGAACCGTGAACGTCAAAATTCGAGACTTCAGCGAATAAGAAATCGCCACCTCATCGTTCGTCACTCTTACCACAGCTCACAAAGCGAGTAGTGGCGGCTTCACCGAGCCAACAGAACGTCTTAAAACGTTTCGATCTTGCTTTGCGCACCTTCCTCTCTTTCTTGCCCCCATGCTGCTACAATTCGATCTATCTCCTCGATCAACTCTTATTCTTGTGCATCTTGATTGGTGAAATCACGAATTGAATATAATTGTGTATTGGATGAAGAATTTCATACAGTTAGGGTTTGATCGATTGTTGAACTAGTTAATGCAATTTATTAAATAAGAAGTATTAGAACTGGGGGCGAATCAGTCTCGGTCTCACCGGAGCCCGGCGGCGGCTTCATCATCGAAGGGACCGTGGTTCTTCCTCCGCGCTAATCATGCGCCTCGTCTTCACACCCTTGCGTATCTTCACCAAGTCGAATCCGTGACCCGCCTGGCATCCGATCATAACCGCCCAGTGTCGTCCGCACCCCCACGCGTCATGGAAAATACCGGCAATTCTGCTCCTTCAACTTTGGAGGAACCTGAGTACTTGGCACGGTATTTGGTCATCAAGCACTCGTGGCGGGGCCGCTATAAGAGGATACTGTGCATTTCTAGCGTTGCCATTATAACTTTGGATCCGTCGACGCTGGCGGTTACGAATTCATATGATGCGGGGAACGATTTTGAGGGTGCGGCACCAATTTTGGGGCGCGATGAGAATTCGAACGAGTTCAGTATCAGTGTGCGGACTGACGGACGTGGCAAGTTCAAAGCCATGAGGTTCTCATCGAGATACAGGGCGAGCATTTTGACAGAGTTGCACCGAATACGGTGGAATAGGCTGGGGCCAGTAGCTGAGTTTCCTGTACTTCATATACGGCGACGGACATCTGAGTGGGTTCCTTTTGTAAGTTACTTTACTTTCTTCAATTTTTCTAGTCGCTCTTGTTTGTAAAGATAATTTATTCCGGTCGATTGTCGAAAATTGGAATGCGCGAGTTTTGTGCGCGCGCGCATCAAGTGTCATTAGGTTCTTAAAGTCAAGTCAAGGGTTTCATGCATACAACAGGTCTAGAAACTAGAAAGAGTTTATTCTAATGTCTCATGTCCGTTAGTCATTATATGATTTGTTTGGACTTCATAAGAGGTGTGTAATAAGCTCGTATATTCTATTTGGTTGTTGTTCTTGACGGCATTGGGTGATGAACAGTGAACTGATTGTTGTGCATGATTGGTGACTTGCAGAAATTGAAAGTGACTTACGTTGGTGTTGAACTCATTGAGATAAAATCTGGAGACCTTCGCTGGTGCCTGGATTTTAGAGACATGGATTCTCCTGCAATTATAATTCTATCTGATGCTTATGGAATGAAAAATGTCGATCATGGAAGTGGCTTTGTTCTTTGTCCCTTGTATGGAAGAAAATCTAAAGCTTTTCAAGCCGCTTCTGGAACCTCAAATTCTACTATTATCTCACATTTGGTATTCATGGCATTCTCAATACTTTGAAGTATTATTTTGGTATACATTGACATCTTGAAATAGGCTACCTTTTGGTTCTGAAGAAGGAAGAATTAGTGCTTTGGCAAATGGTTTTATTTTATTTTTTTTGGGAGAACTAGAGAATTTATGTTTGAAATTTTTATTATTAGTAATAATGCCGGTGTGCTGTATCATTGCAGACAAAAACTGCAAAATCCACTGTTGGGCTGACACTGTCTGTGGAGAACACCAACACCCTCACCATTTTGGAGTTTTTAAAACGAAGGGGTATTAAATATTAAAATCTTTGTGCCCTTTCTGCTTTTCAAATTATTGGGTCCCTTGTGTTTGGTTAGTTATTGATAGCAATTTAATGGTCTAACCTTGAATAAATAAATGATGCAGCAAAAGAAGCAGTTGGTGCAGAGGAGACCCCTTTGGGGGGTTGGTCTGTTACTAGATTGCGGTCTGCTGCTCATGGAACTCTAAATGTTCCAGGTTTGAGCTTAGGAGTTGGCCCAAAAGGAGGACTTGGTGAGCGCGGTGATGCTGTCTCTCGTCAACTTATTCTTACAAAGGTTTCACTTGTTGAAAGGCGTCCTGAGAACTATGAAGTAAGTGGTGGATTTATTAAGTATATTAGCTAAAACTGTGTAGCTGCTCTAATAATATAGAACTCACACACTTTTAGCTTTTTCATAGGCTTTGTAAAGATATATGCTGTTGAACTCATCTGTAAAGATCTTGCACAAGGGAAATAAAGCAATAACACAAACAATTATTTTCTAAGATAGACTTTGTATACATACAACTCTGGTGATATTTAGAATATTTGGATCATTAGAAGCTTACATGAATTGCACGTAAATTAGATTTTGGAAGGGTAAATTCTATGTAACAAGGCTCTGGTTTTTTGGCATAGCGATCTTGGAACCATAAACCTATACATTTAACTGATCCTGGAATGTGAACATTGTCATTCTATATATGCTAAAGTAAACTTACTATAGATTTTATGCATTTGTCTTGTACAAATGGATAAAATATGTAATTGTGATTGTTGATAGTTGGAAAAGGTTCGATGTGTATCCAAAAGACAACCATTGTATATTAATACATCTAGAGGACTATGTGAGAATTTTCACTAGATATTTGCAGGCTGTTACTGTTCGTCCTTTGTCTACTGTAAGTGCTCTTGTTCGATTTGCTGAAGAGCCACAGATGTTTGCAATTGAATTCAGTGATGGGTGCCCTATCCATGTAAGCATTTGCTATGTTACTGTGATTGTGATTTACGATGTGGGGAAGTTTCTCATGTCCATGCTATGAATTGTAGATCTATGCAAGCACATCCCGTGATAGCTTACTTGCAGCAGTTCGTGATGTACTACAAACAGAAGTAGGTAGATGTATCTTCTTTTGATTAAGAATTGTTCTATAACTGTACGCCTATTTTGGGACATGAGGGTTCACTATTAAACTCTTTCCTGCAACTGGAGGTAATAAATGTTTACTTCGAAGAAGTGTATGTTTGAATTCTTGTATTGGTTTTGTCTAGGGTCAATGTGCAATTCCTGTATTGCCAAGGCTAACAATGCCTGGTCACCGTATTGATCCTCCTTGTGGGAGAGTTCATCTGCAATATGGTCAACAAAGGCTTGTAGCTGATATAGAAAGTGCGACCATGCATTTAAAACATTTAGCAGCAGCGGCAAAAGATGCTGTTGCTGAAGGTGGTTCTGTACCTGGATCAAGAGCTAAGTTGTGGCGTAGAATAAGGGAGTTTAATGCCTGTATTCCATACAGTGGGGTGCCTCAGAACATTGAAGTACCGGAGGTTACTTTGATGGCCTTGATTACTATGCTTCCTGCTACTCCTAATCTTCCTCCAGAATCTCCTCCTTTGCCACCCCCTTCACCAAAAGCAGCAGCAACAGTGATGGGATTCATTGCATGCTTGCATAGATTACTTGCCTCAAGAAGTGCAGCCTCACATGTAATGTCTTTTCCTGCTGCTGTTGGAAGGATAATGGGTTTACTCAGAAACGGTTCTGAGGGTGTGGCTGCTGAGGCTGCTGGTCTAGTTGCATCACTCATTGGTGGTGGGCCTGGTGATGCAAATACAATGACAGATCTTAAAGGAGAGTGGCATGCCACAATTATGCACACCAAGTCAGTATTGTTTGCTAATCATGGCTACGTTATTATTCTTGTCAACAGACTAAAGCCTATGTCAGTATCACCATTACTGTCAATGGCAGTTGTTGAGGTGCTTGAGGCTATGATTTGTGAGCCACATGGGGAGACTACCCAGTACACTGTTTTTGTAGAGTTGTTGCGCCATGTAGCTGGACTGAAGCGTCGCTTATTTGCACTGTTTGGTCATCCTGCTGAAAGTGTTAGAGAAACAGTAGCTGTGATTATGCGATCAATTGCAGAAGAGGATGCCATTGCTGCAGAGTCCATGCGGGGTGCTGCTCTGCGTGATGGTGCTTTGTTGAGACATTTATTGCATGCATTGTTCCTTCCTGCAGGTGAGCGTCGTGAAGTTAGTCGACAACTTGTTGCTCTTTGGGCAGATTCTTACCAACCAGCTCTGGAGCTATTGTCCCGAATTTTGCCTCCTGGCCTTGTTGCTTATTTGCACACCCGTTTTGATGGAGTTCTAGCAGAAGATGTAAATCAAGAAGAGTCATTAGCTGGAAGAAGAAAACGACGATTACTACAGCAGAGGAAAAGTCGTGTAGGAAGAGGAATAACTGCTCAGGAGCAACAGTTCTCTACAGTTAATAATTTTGATGGTGCTGATTTGGGTAGGCAAACTGGGGTTGCTGCTCATAGGGGTATAGACAACTATCATACATCTAGTTCTGACCCAAACTTTGCACAAGCTTCAAACACTCAATCTTCAATTTTTTCCACAAGTGAAAATCGGGATAATGGATCTTCAGTAGGAGATGCACAAAATGGTCATTCAACTGTTATGCCTTCCTCTATTGCACCATCTGCAAACTCAAATGAAGAAGCATCAGGACCTAATTCTTTGAGTTCAGTTGACCCTGAAGGCAATACAATTGGTTTTCAAAGTCCAGGAGTTCCAGCTCCTGCTCAAGTTGTTGTGGAGAACATCCCTGTAGGATCTGGTCGACTAATATGCAATTGGCCTGAATTTTGGCGAGCTTTTAGTTTAGATCATAATCGTGCAGATTTGATATGGAATGAGCGTACTAGGCAAGAGTTGAGGGAAGCTTTGCAAGCTGAAGTTCATCTACTAGATGTTGAGAAGGAGCGAACTGAAGATATTGTCCCGGGTGGTGCTACAGTAGAAATGATAAGTGGGATTGAAAATATACCCCAAATATCTTGGAACTACCCTGAATTTTCTGTCCGTTACCCAAGCTTGTCAAAAGAAGTTTGTGTGGGCCAGTATTATCTGCGTTTGCTGCTTGAGAGTGGTGGTGGTGGCAGGGCGCAGGACTTCCCACTGCGTGATCCAATTGCATTCTTTAGAGCACTTTACCATCGGTTTCTATGTGATGCTGACACAGGGCTTACTGTAGATGGTGCTGTTCCTGATGAACTAGGTGCCTCTGATGATTGGTGTGATATGGGCAGGTTAGATGGTTTTGGAGGAGGTGGTGGTTCATCAGTGAGGGAGCTCTGTGCAAGGGCGATGGCAATTGTATATGAACAACATTACAAGACTATTGGTCCTTTTGAGGGCACATCTCACATAACTGTTCTCTTGGATAGGACTGATGACAGGGCTTTGAGGCACCGACTTCTTCTACTTTTAAAGGTTTGTCAAAATCAATTCCTTCATGTTCTTTAGTGTCTTGTCTTGCTGTATTAATGTTCAGTAGGTGTTTTGCTCCAATAAAAAATTGTTCATTTTTAATTATTGTCAATTTGTTCATAATTGCCATTAGATAGATTTATTTTTTTTGGTGGTAAAATAGGAGCCATCATATAGCTTAACTTGTTTTCATAGATGTAATAGAGATATAAAGAATGCTCGAGTTAACAATTCAATTTACCAGTAAAAATCATGTGCAATTTACTGTCTTATGTTCAATGCCAGGCTTTAATGAACTTTCTATCAAATGTTGAGGCCTGTGTTCTAGTTGGAGGTTGTGTACTAGCTGTTGATCTACTTACAGTGGTCCATGAAGCCTCAGAGAGGACAGCTATTCCCTTGCAGTCTAATTTGATTGCTGCTACTGCTTTTATGGAACCTCTTAAGGAATGGATGTATATTGATAAAGATGGTGCCCAAGTTGGACCTTTGGAAAAAGATGCTATTAGAAGGTTATGGTCTAAAAAAGCTATTGATTGGACGACAAGATGTTGGGCTTCTGGGATGCTGGATTGGAAGAAGCTGCGGGATATTCGTGAGCTCCGTTGGGCTCTTGCACTTAGAGTTCCTGTCCTTACACCCGCTCAGGTAAAGTCATGTTGCAGATAGGAGACAATGTTGATATTGATACTAATGAACTTAATGCTTATAATCTGATTTTTTTCTTCCCTTATGCTAGAGGACTAATTGTCTATATTTACATCAAGACTTTTGCAAATTTCTGTCAAGGCTTAATAGTTTGCCCTGCTGTTAATCTGTTCTGCTCATGATCAAACTACTGACTAAGTTAGTGGACTACAATCCAGCCAACTGTGTTCCAAATCTCTTGAGCTTAGTATGAGAACTGGAAAAATGTTGTTCTTGTTTAGATATTCACATTTAGGTGCTGTTATGTTGATGATCTTCAGTTTTAAACGCAATGAATATCAATGCATTTCTCTCTCTCGAAAGTAGCATTAAGAACTTGCTTGGAAGTGTTTTTGTGACTAATGATTTGTCTCAGATACTGCATTTCTTTTAATTTCCTTGTCTTATTCTGCTTTGCGTAGTTCCCTCCTGATAGAAGGATATTGTATGTAGGTAGGGGATGCAGCTTTATCTATATTGCATAGCATGGTATCTGCACATTCAGATTTAGATGATGCTGGAGAGATTGTAACTCCAACTCCTAGAGTAAAACGAATCTTGTCAAGTCCTCGCTGTCTTCCGCATATTGCACAGGTAATCTTAGGAGTGGTCCATCCATTATGCATTCATTCCCCCCCCCCTAAATTTTTTTTTTCTTCATAGTCTCTGGTTGCCTTCACTCTGAACATTTTACTGCTTAGTATAGATTTTGATTTCTTTTTTTTTAACTTTCTATTTTTGTAAAACAAAAGGATCTTGTCTAGTTTCTTCAACTTGATTATTTGGACTCCCAGCCAGAGTGAATATTATGACATATTTTTTATAGTTTTGTCAAATCACGTTGCCTTTATTATTTTTAGATGAAATTTTTAGTATAAGATAATATTGTGTGCTTAATTCTTGATTTATATATATTTTCCTTTCTTTTTGGTGACTTTGAATATCTTGATTTTTGACTGGGTGAGGTTTGTGTATAGGCCATTCTTTCTGGGGAACCTAGTATTGTTGAGGCAGCTGCTGCCTTGCTGAAGGCCATTGTCACTCGTAATCCCAAGGCCATGATACGCTTATACAGCACTGGAGCATTTTATTTTGCACTGGCTTACCCTGGATCCAATCTGATTTCAATTGCCCAGCTCTTTGCTGTCACCCATGTCCATCAAGCATTTCATGGTGGTGAAGAGGCTGCAGTTTCAACATCACTGCCGTTGGCAAAACGTAGTGTTCTTGGTGGATTGCTCCCTGAATCTTTGTTGTATGTACTGGAGCGTAGTGGTCCAGCAGCATTTGCTGCTGCTATGGTTTCTGATTCTGATACTCCAGAAATTATATGGACACACAAAATGAGGGCTGAAAATCTAATTCGTCAGGTATTTGACTTCATAAATCATAATGATAAAACTTGGGTTGCTCTTCAGATATGATACCAATGCAATAGAAGTTTTTTGGGTCATCAACGTTTGTTAATCCATGCTGTTTTGATTTTTACCAGGTTTTGCAGCATCTTGGTGACTTCCCGCAGAAATTATCACAGCATTGCCATGTTTTATATGATTATGCCCCTATGCCTCCTGTTACTTACCCAGAGCTAAAAGATGAAATGTGGTGTCACCGCTATTACCTCAGGAATCTATGTGATGAGATTCGATTTCCGAATTGGCCTATTGTTGAACATGTTGAGTTTCTGCAGTCATTATTGGTATTGTGGCGTGAAGAGTTGACAAGGAAGCCTATGGATCTTTCAGAAGAAGAAGCTTGCAAAATCTTAGAAATATCATTGGAGGATGTATCTATTGATGGAAATAAAAATTCTTTGGATATGGGAGAGGAAGCATTTAGCTTATCCAAGCAGATTGAGAATATTGATGAAGAAAAATTAAAGCGACAGTATAGGAAACTGGCAATGAAATATCATCCTGACAAAAACCCAGAAGGAAGGGAAAAGTTTCTTGCTGTGCAGAAAGCCTATGAACGCCTCCAGGTAGAGAAATGTTTTCATACTCTGCACAATAAGCTATTTTGGGAATGAGGCAAGTGTTCCCAATCCCAAGTTTGTTATGTGGCTTAACAGCAAGATAGGTAGAAGATTATGCATCCTTATACTATATGGTTTCTTTAAAACTTTTAATAGCTGCTGTGAATGCAATTTTTATTCCTAAAAAGGTAGTAGCTGCAACATGCATGTTCCCCATCCCTGGATTTTGTATGGCATAAAAATAAAATGGTGATGATGAGCATAATACCTTCTTTTTCTGTTCATTCTGATGCCAACCCTGGCGACAAAATGCTTTATTTTTTGTACAAGCAACCTTGTCACCCACCTTTTTTCTGTTCGGAGTTACTTAATTTTTAGCGTTACATGACTGCTTATCAGGCTACCATGCAAGGTTTGCAAGGCCCTCAACCTTGGAGATTGCTTCTTTTATTGAAAGGACAGTGTATATTGTACAGAAGATATGGAGATGTATTGGAGCCATTCAAATATGCTGGCTATCCCATGTTGTTAAATGCAGTTACTGTGGACAATGATGATAACAATTTTCTTTCTTCAGAAAGAGCTCCTCTCCTTGTTGCTGCATCAGAGCTTGTTTGGCTGACGTAAAATCCTGTTGTCTTTCTTGTTAGATTCATATTTTTTGCTTGTGAGTTGCACATTCTGGTAACATCATTTAATCTTAATATGGTCAGGTGCGCATCTTCTTCATTGAATGGTGAAGAGCTAGTGAGGGATGGCGGAGTACAACTTCTTGCAACCCTTCTTTCCCGTTGCATGGGTGTCGTTCAACCCACTACTCCTGGAAATGAACCATCAGCCATCATAGTTACAAATATCATGCAAACCTTTTCAGTTCTGAGTCAATTTGAGGCTGCCAGAGCTGACATGCTTGAGTATTCTGGACTAGTTGAGGACATTGTGCACTGTACTGAACTTGAGTTTGCACCTGCAGCTGTTGATGCTGCTTTGCAGACTATTGCCAACATTTCTGTTTCCTTGGAGTTGCAGAATGCTTTACTGAAGGCTGGTGTATTATGGTATGTCTGCCTTCTCAATTGTGTTTTTTCACATTACAGAGTTGGGAAGACTGGCTGATCCCTCACAACCATGAATTTTTTGTTGGCCCTTCATCCTAAGTGGTCAAAGTCCAAAAATGATCCTTGACTCCTGGATCTCCTTGTTTATGCCTTTAGATGTATCAGAACTTAAATTTCTTGGGCATAAAGTTCTTCATGAATGAATTTGAATGATAATCGAGGCATTTTATTTCTAGTTTGGTTGATGTTAAGGAAGAAACTACTGATTTAATGAATGTTTTTGGTAGTTATTACTAAATTAATTCATCAATGTTATGCTTTGATCATTCAAGGTTAGGAGGAAATGCAGTCTTTTGCTCACTGAGTTTTCCTACACTTGCCCTGTAATAAATAGTTGCACGGGAACTGTCTGACATGTTATTTAGTGATTTAATTTCATACCAGTAGCTTATTTAGACGACCCTTTTTAGCATTGAGAAAGCGAGAAACTTATTTTTCTCTTGTGCTTGCCAGTAGAATCATAAATTTGTTCATTTATTGATAATTGATATAGGCCTTATGGAAATTTCCTTTTCTTCTTTTCTTCTTTCTCAGCTCCTTATAATGTTTTGGTCAATTTTTCAGTATCTCCTCAATCATTCTGTTATATTCTAGTGATTCGGTAATTGGTTCTAACATTATATGCACAGGATTTCTTTCTAACTTTATATGCACGGATTTTACCATCCTCATCATGACGCTATCAACATTCTGGTTATGTTAGATTATAGACTTTAACTTTGTATGTCAAATTGTAGTTGCTTGCTGTACTAGATTTTTTTGATATCTTCTGTGAATTATATCCTGCAACTCAGACTTATCCATGGAATATGATTCATGATAGGTACCTTCTGCCTTTACTGCTTCAGTTTGACTCCACTGCTGAAGAATCTGATACTACAGAGTCACATGGTGTTGGTGCTAGTGTTCAAATTGCCAAAAACATGCATGCTATACGAGCATCCATGGCTTTGTCAAGGATCAGTGGTTTATGTGCTGATGAGAATCCGACACCTTATAATAATGCTGCAGCTGATGCTCTCAGAGCTTTGCTAACTCCTAAGCTTTGTAGCATGTTAAAAGACCAAATGCCTAAAGATCTGCTTTCCAAATTAAACGCAAACCTGGAGACTCCTGAGGTAAATGCTTCCCCCCTCCCCTTTCCCCAACTCTTAGTTAAAACAATTCAATATGGAGCCCAAAGATTTTATGGCACTTCTCTGACTTGGTCAAAAAAATATATTGCTTTGCATTTTATCTCACTTTGCGCTGGTAATTTGAACTTGAAGTGACTTTTAATGGCCAACAGATCAAGTCTGTTTAACAAGTAAAAATATGGTTAAATGTTTTTAGCTCACTCTCAATTGTTTTTGTTTTATTTTGGTAGACGGAGATAACATTCAGGATCTACATATATGTTATAGTATCAATGTACTGAGGTCAAATAACTGCCTGGTTGACCCAGTCTGAGCAAAGGATTGAGAGCTAGATATGATTAGTAGTGTTGTAGATTATATTATAGGACTTTTGCCTTCACTTAATGGCTTAAACTTTTTGGTTGAATGATCCTTGATATTGTATGAAAGCCATGTTGAAATGGTAAGAAGTGTAAATTGTTTATCCATAATCAAAGAGAAGTTTGATATCATTCTATCCTACGCCGAATAAAATTTATTGCTTAACCTATATATGTGCTGAGGCCCATAAACTGGGGGCTTTCTTATATTGGAAAACCTATAGAAACACCATCTTGACCTTAAAGATGAAGTGGGCCTGCACAATGCAGGTTAAACTTGTGCTATTGTATCTGATATCTATCCTTGGAAACCAAAACATAAGTCAATACATGGGACAAGTTTCAAATTTTTAGTTTAGGCGGTCTCTTTCCTGTGCTTCATGTATAATTTTGTATGTGTATGTGCTAAGAGTTCTGTTTTAGTTTGACCCATCTTTTGAAACTATATACTGTAGATTATCTGGAACTCTTCAACAAGGGCAGAGCTGCTGGCTTTTGTGGATGAGCAGCGTGCATCTCAAGGCTCTGATGGTTCATATGACATAAAAGATTCTTATGACTTTAGCTATAAAGCATTATCGAGAGAACTATTCATTGGCAATGTTTACTTAAGAGTCTACAACGATCAGCCAGACTCTGAAATTAGTGAAGCAGAAGCTTTTTGTGTTGCTCTAATTGATTTTATATCATTTCTTGTGCGCAATCAAAATACTGGAGATGCTGATGGTCATGGCATAGTTGATTCCGCTGCTGCAGTCGTTCAAACACCTGAGTGTCAAACTGAGACTAATGGTAATGGATCTGCTAGTGAGCAGCATGTCCTGGATGATTCCACAACAGTATCTGATGGACAAGTGGCAGAAAAAGAGGAACTTGAGTTGGTTAAGAACCTTCGTGCTGCATTAACCTCCCTTCAGGTTGCATTGCTTAATTACCTTTGAATGTTGTGATTTATTACATCAAGCATGTCTGTCTAATCTTTTTTATTTTCTGCAGAACCTTCTCACTAGCAAACCAAATTTGGCATCGATATTTTCTAACAAAGACAAGTTAATGCCTCTCTTTGAGTGCTTTTCTCTTACTGAAGCATCAGATAGTGGCATTCCTCAACTTTGCCTGGGTGTGTTGTCACTCTTGACAGCCCATGCTTCCTGCTTGGAGGCCATGGTAGCAGATGGATCCAGCCTTCTTCTTTTACTACAGATGCTTCACTCCTCTCCAAGTTGTCGTGAAGGGGCTCTCCATGTTTTATATGCATTGGCAAGCACTCCAGAACTTGCCTGGGCAGCTGCCAAGCATGGTGGAGTTGTGTACATTCTTCAACTGCTCTTGCCTTTGAAGGGTAGAAAAACTTATTTTAGTTTGTCTATTCTTTGCCATTTTTTAAAATGTTTTGCACTGTGAATAATTGAATACTAATAATGGAAATATTCCATGCAGATGAAATTCCACTGCAACAAAGAGCGATGGCAGCTGCCTTGTTGGGCAAGCTTGTTGGCCAACCAATGCATGGTCCAAGAGTTGCTATAGCACTAGCTAGGTTTCTTCCAGATGGGATGGTATCTGTAATCAGAGATGGACCTGGTGAGGCTGTTGTAATTGCCCTAGAGCAGACTACAGAGACACCAGAACTTGTATGGACGCCCGCAATGGCAGCTTCCTTATCTGCACAGATTTCAACTTTGGCATCAGAACTATTCCGTGAGCAGATGAAAGGTCGGGTTGTTGATTGGGATGTGCCTGAACAGGCTTCTGGACAACAGGAAATGAGGGATGAGCCACAGGTACCACATCTATGTGATGTGCAGTTTAGAAATGCATATTTTCTCGCATCCTATGGATTGAAACTATTTGCGTTGATACAGGTTGGTGGCATCTATGTCCGACTGTTTCTGAAAGATCCTAAATTTCCTCTGAGAAATCCTAAAAGATTCTTGGAAGGACTACTTGATCAGTATTTATCATCTATTGCTGCCACACATTACGAGACACAGGCTGTTGATCCAGAGTTGCCTTTGCTTCTCTCTGCTGCATTAGTTTCATTACTCCGCGTGCATCCTGCACTAGCAGATCATGTGGGATATCTTGGGTATGTGCCCAAACTTGTCGCTGCCGTTGCCTATGAAGGTAGGCGAGAAACAATGGCATCATCAGGTGAGGTAAATAATGACAATCATGCAGACAGAATGGATGACACAGACAATGGCTCAAGAGAGCAAACACAAACTCCTCAAGAACGTGTGCGTCTCAGTTGTTTGCGCGTCCTGCATCAACTTGCAGCTAGCACCACATGTGCTGAAGCCATGGCTGCTACAAGTGTAGGAACACCTCAGGTATCTGATAGAAATTATTTTATGGTTGAAGTTACATATCTTTATGCTGGTTTTCCTGCTTGTGCTTGCCATCAGGCCATGATAACATCGTTTTGAGAGAACAGTTCTAATGGTCTACTGGTGACACACCATATATTATTATGAGTACGAATAATTCTGTTGTACTCTCTTTCTTGCTAAAGGGGAAGATTAATTAAAATGTGAGAAGAACATTTACACTTCAAAATGTCCTTCTATCCCCAAAATCACCCTGGTTCTGCCAATCAACCTTGCAACAGTAGGTGCCCCTGGTCATCTGCAACTTTTGGCCTATTGAAAACAGTCTTTCAGCTGCTACTCTTATTTTCAAACCTCCGAGCCAGCGAGCAGTGCCAAAGGCTTTCTTGAAAAATTAAGTTGTCAAATAAAGGTTCTTATTCATTTTATTACTAGCATATCTTCACATAGCTTTTCTAGCTTCAATTAGATAAAACCCAGATCTCAACGTTGAGATAAAACCCAGATCTACGATAACTTGAGAAATTCTAATTTAAACTGATCAGAGGCTCTGAGGCCATGCAATAAGTACCATGTCTTCCCCAAAGGTTAAGCTGAAGGCCAAGCTCCTATTATGACTACACATTTATTGGGGATTAAGGGTTTAGATTGAGGATAGGAGAGTACACGGCTCAATTGAAATGACTTTGTCTTTCATGGATTATTTAAGGAGGGGAAAGTGGGAGGGTTTATGTTGTGCTGCTGGAAATTTGTAAATTTCATAGGTTCCAAGACTCTCATTATGATGGTTTAACTTTGTATTACTGGCATTTTTGTCATCTGTATATTTCACTTATGATTATCAAGTTGTGACTCCAAACAAAATTGTACTGATATTTTTTTTATATCTATTTTAAATTTAATTCCACTTTCCAGGTAGTTCCTCTACTAATGAAAGCTATAGGATGGCAAGGTGGAAGCATTTTAGCTCTTGAGACCCTAAAACGTGTTGTGGTTGCTGGAAACCGAGCGAGGGATGCTCTTGTTGCACAAGGACTCAAGTGAGTTACTTATTTATATTCAGCAGACATGTATCTTTTCTGTTTGCTTGTTTCTCACTTTTCTTTGAATAAATCTTGCTTTAGATCCTTTGATTTTTCTGTGGTTATATAACTGTGAAGTTCAATTATGAGGATATTTTGTATTGAAGAGTTTAAAATTGTATTGAGTTGTGCAAGTTCCAAAAGATATTTTTTCCTTACTTGTCATCCCCCCTAACGTGTATCATCTTTTGGGTCTTGCCCATCTGTCTTGTTTTGGATTATCTTTTGGCAATTCTTTAGATGGATATGTCAGCAACGCAAATGTTTTGGACGAAAGTGAAAATTAATTGGCGAGTACAAGCATTTGACCTTGCATGCATACTGAAGAGTGGAGCATGTTTTGCTATATGGACTTAGTGTGCATATTTAGGTTTTTTTTCTCCCCTGGTTGCGGAGAATCATTCTAGATTATTTGAAGCCTAAATTACTTTGGATGGTCCAGCACTATAAGAGAACATCTAGAAACAGTGAAATTTAAAAATGCACCTACTAGGGAGGTCGCCAATTGGTTTGGAACCCTTAAACGTTTGTTTTAGAATTCCATCTAAATTTTCGGATCTGCAGTGCTGTTGGATGACAGTTAATGGTGATACTTTTGAGTATTGAGGAGACAAGGACTGATACTTCTTTGGGTACCATGGATGTGAAATGGAAATAAATGTCATGTCAGAAACTTTATCCTTCTGCTAGTATCTGCAATTGGCTTTGAAAAGTCTGTATACTGCCTCCATAGTTTATGGCTTCTCTGCTTAGTAAAGATTAAGCTGCTCGGGGTCATGCATAGACTATAATATTCTTTATGTTGTTTATTATTGAGATGCATAATTGGAAGTTTGTTGTGTTTCTAAAACATTGTGAAATTGTGCAAACTTTGTAGAGTTGGTCTTGTTGAAGTACTTCTCGGTCTTCTTGACTGGAGGGCTGGTGGGAGGAATGGGCTTTGCTCTCAAATGAAGTGGAATGAATCTGAAGCATCTATTGGCAGGGTGCTTGCGATTGAGGTTTGAATCTCATACTTCCTCATCCTGGGTTTCTTTTTCCCGCAATGGTTTCTATTTTTTATCTAGTAAATCTAACCTTCTGTCCTCCTTTATTTCTCCATGCCCATATTTCTCTTTTTTGCTTGCTTTTAATAACTGTCTTTCTTTGGGTTCTCTTACACTCTCCTTAATTCCCTTGCATTTAATATTCACTTCTATTTTTCTGGATATGTCAAAATATTCATGGGGCATTCACGTAGTTTTTTACTTTTTTTGCTCTGTTCAAATTTCTTAATATTACTATTTTTTTAGAAAATATTACTGTATATTTTTATGGAAACAAGCTTGCAGCCTTGTTACTTTTAAATGTTCTTAACTTATTGTTCTCTGACGTCCTTCAACTGCAAAATTCTTATTTTCTACACTTTGTATTTCTTTCTTTCTTTCTTTCGTTTGAGTGGCACAATTGACGGACAAGACAAGCAACCTGAATTCCCATAGTCTCTAAACTTTTTTAGCTAGAACCTAAGTTCCCATAGTCTCCAAACTTTATTAGCTAGGCTGCTTGAATTGATTTTCCGCTATTTTCATTTATGCTGATGAGTACTCTTGTATGGTGATCAGGTCTTGCATGCCTTTGCCACCGAAGGAGCACATTGTACTAAAGTGCGAGAAATATTAAATAGTTCCAATGTGAGTCTCAATACTTGTTACTGTTTAGTGTTTCTGATTGCTTGAATCTGTGCGCTTCAATTTATTAAGTGAACCCACTAAAGAATCTCTCTCCTGCTTTGAAGGTTTGGAGTGCATACAAAGACCAGAAGCATGATCTCTTCCTTCCTTCAAATGCTCAATCTGCAGCAGCTGGCATTGCTGGTCTGATTGAGAGTTCATCGTCATCAAGACTCACTTATGCACTTACAGCTCCGCCGCCAGCACCTGCTTCCTCCAGAATTCTTCCATCATCTGCATCAAGCTTGAATGGTAAGCAAGACCAGCTTTCATAGCACAGAAAACTAGATTGTTTGAGCTGCATGTATTCAAGCTTGCACCTGGACCAGTGGCCTGTATAGTACGTTGTACAGTTATCCTGTCTCCGTGCACCCTGGATGATCACCGGGATGCATGTGCAATTTTCTTAGAGCAAATTATTCGTTTGTATGAAGAGGGATTTTTGGTCCCCGCTCCCACAAGCGCCCTTTTTTTCTTGTAAATTGAGTGGTCTATTTGCCAATGTACTGCAGAATAGTGAGGTGATTTTATGCATTCCGCTCTAGTTTAGTCCTACTTTGCTTTGTATCCACACATGATCAATTTTTTTTTTTTTATTATATCAAGTTTAAAGGTATACCCAGGTCTTTGGTTGCAGCTAGATAAATTTTGAACCGTTTTTTTCTTTAATTTAAAGAGGTGAGCACAAATGGCTTGAGATGACAAATGGAACCAAACTCGTAACTTTTTATTCATCGGGGAGTTTTTATGTTACCAGGCCACAAGGTCATTGGCAATTTGAAACTATTTTTTAAGATGTATTTCTTAACGTTAGATTCTTATATTCAGAATTTGACTTGATAAGGTTTCCCATGGAGAAAGGCATCGGTGGCATTTTTTATTTTTATTTTTTGCTTTTTTGGGTATGGGTGCCAGAGTCTGTCTGTGGTTTAATTTTAGATGCACTCGATGCAAATAGTTGCCCTGATAAATCGGGAAGGACCGGGCTCCTTTAAAACAAAGTGTGAGGAGCTGAGGATAAAGGTCCTTCCCAAGCAGCAAGGTAGTCGTAGTTTGCTTCACGTCCCCCGTCCTTTGTTCGAAGTATATTTTTTCCCCTCTTCACACAAGAATTTAAACTCTGCATGTACTTTCTCTGTGTTTATTTATTCAAATAAATGGTAGTTAAAATTTAACGAAACATTCGATATATTAAGTAATGGCTGGGTTTCATCCTGTTCAAATCCTTTCATTGCCAATATTAATTTTCTTGGCACGAGCGGCAGCATGATTGTTTTGGATGCAATGAAGTCCGTGATTTATGATTTATGTCCAGAACTCGATACCCCCTAATTACCATTACCTTTGCCTTCGGTGTCTCCATCAGAAGAAAGTGGAAAGAAAAAAGGTGGGGGTGGGGGGTGGGGGACAATTAAAAGTTGTGAATAAGTAGGTAGTTGAGGGTTGACAGATACGTATTCTTTTAGCAGATGACATGTTCGGTATTATTCCCGATCCAAGCAGAGTTTTGTAAGCAGGGTTGTTTGGTTGGGTATTGTTTCTTCAGGCTGGGATTTAAAGCGGTGATTCATTAAAGCAAGTCCTCCAGTGTGTTTTTGGCAGAATAGCTGGAAAGGCAGTCAACCATTAATGACGCCGACGTGGTAGATCATCATCAACTTCAAACTAAATGAGTAGATGAGTAAGTGAGGTTGTATGATCCATGCTATGGACTCCTCTTCATTGAGTAAATTAAAAGATTCACCAATGACTCTAATTAGCTTTCTGTTGGGACTTCAAGATCAATTTTAGACGCATCATTTATAATTGAGATTGATGCTGATCTCTTTGAAGCGTGGCCACTTCCGATGTGCCAACCACAATATCTTTTCAAAGGGACGGGTTTCAGTTGAGGAAAAACAATCAATTTACGAATGTATATGCGTTAAATTTACGGCAAATTGTACGAATTATAAGTTATGCATATTGTGGTTTGCTTTTAAGATTTGGTGCAATATGAAAGTTGCGTCATCATAATTAATAGCTATAAATTATTCATTATAAAATATTTAAAGAATACATAAAATTATAATTATCATTTTGATCTAAAATTTAGAAATGATTTTGGTCCTTAACTTAATTATGATTTTTGAACCCTTTTAATCGAAAATTTAAAAAATATATAAATCTTTATTTGTGGTATCCTAATTCTATCTCACATCGAGTTAAAAAAGCTTAACAAGAGGTTCATAATAATTGAGATAAAGCTTAGACGAGACCTTTTTAGATAAAGCTTTGCCATCAACACTATTATTTTGTTAGAGCTCCAACTTAAGACTTCCAATTAAATTGGCATAACTCCCTTGCTGATTTAACCAAATCATTAGTGCTATTGGTCTAATGTTATTATAAAATGTTGATCCTTGATCATGTTCAAAAAGTAAGTATTGTGAACCTACAAAGAAATATTAGACTAATAAAGGTTTTCATGTAAGTTCGGCGCATATATGTTGCTATAAATTTAACCCAAACAAATATTTAATGAATAATTTTGTATTAAACAAGATACTATAAGAAGCATTTAAATAATCCATGATCACGACGTAGTGATTTATCTAATAATAAATATATGTAATGGGACAATAATTCGATATTATTTATGTCATTGGATTTCTTAAAATATTTTTAACTTTATAATATATATATATATATATATATATAAATTGAAAGGGGGATGCCTGACTTCATATGTAAATTAGAATTGTCTGTTGTTGGAGTTTAAGGTAATGTTCATGATTAATGGGATGAATTTTTATAGATTTTATATCATTATAAATATAAATATGTGGATAGATGGATGTTGTAGATATCATATATTAAATGTCGATTGATGCTGATTCCCCCCCCCCCTTATCCCACCGTATTGATTTTGTACTAAATTAAAAAAGCCAAATAATCTATGAAATTTATAAACTTAACTTTTATCAACATTTAGACATTTTACAAGCAGGCATTGATTTTAATGGAAGCAGCTATGATCGCTCAACCATAAAATCTCAAGTTCAAGTTCATGTTAAGGAGAAATTTTTTTTACAAGAGTAACCCGATTAAACTTTATTGAATTTGACAATGTTTAAATCTGATTCAATTAAATAGTTTTATATAAGAACACATCAAGAGTTTTTCCGATACATAAGCAAATCTCCCTGTCACTTTTTCCCATGTTATATCAATTGCACTTTTATATTTTTCTCATTTTTTAACAAATTTCAACAAATCACATTTCTTTGGTATATTATCCATCCTGGCGTCCTATGGCTAAAAATAAAATAAAATCTAATTTAATGAAAAAATAAATCAAACTCAAAGTCTAGTTGGTACACTTATAAATTAATAAATCAATCAATTTCATGATAACGAAATATGAGCAGATAATTTAAGGGAAAATCAATAAGCCAATGTGCATTCTAAAAAGTAAATGTTTTTAAAGAAATTTTGAAAAGGAAAAATCACAATTTGAAAAGGAAAAAAAAAAAAAAAGGAAAGAAAGAGACGTCCGACGTGTTTTGTATCATACCTACCACCCAGCAAGAATATGGCAATTATCAAAATTTCGAATGTATTCTTAAAGTCTCACATTATTTATAATTTCTGAACGTAACTTTCCTTCAAGCCATTATATTATAAGAGTGATTCCATCTATGCAATTTCACGCCACGCAAACCATTTTTTTGTTTGGGGGACAAATCACGAATTGCAAAATTCTAATGGAGCTCAATTGTCAATTGGATTATAAATAACAAGTTAAATACAAACAAAATTAAAAGAAAAAAAGAAAAAAAGAAAACGATGTTCACGCCTTAACCCCTGATATTGAAATCAAAACATTTACTTTTTAGAATACTATTCACACCTCACGCATATACTTTTTTATTTATTACAATGCAGCATCTTTTTGTAGGTTGTATTTTTTTTTTTTAAAGAACTTGAGCATAATGTTTCTGCAATGCATGGAGGGCATTTCAAATTTATTTTTAAAAAAATGAAGTGAGTTCAATATCAACTTCTTAAAATTTCACTAACATCTCATAACATGGAAGATTAGTTCTTTTGCAGCTTCTAGTCTTTTGTTATTCATATTGGCAAAACTCAAGTCCACATCCTTACGTTGGTAATTGAATGTATTACTCGGCTGTTTTTCCCTAAACCATCTTTATTAATTATATGATTTTATCCTAATCATCCCATTAGCGCAAAATAATCAATCGTCAACATATCAAAATATATATAAAGTGACATGGTATTGTTAATTTAAGCAACTAATGACTAATCTATTCATTGAAAATATAGAAGGTTTTGAAAAATTTCGCAATTTCATGCAAACTCATGAGTTGAGAGCTTGAGCCTTGAGGATCGTTATTACGTTATGCAGTGAAGCCAAAATGAAAAAAAAAAAAAAGGACTTTGACCGTAAAAATAGCGGTGGCGCGTGGTCGAATGAAGGAGAAAAGGGCAATAAGGTAAATAAACAATCCGGTCCGGAAGAAGAAAAGAAAGCCGGAAACTCGCTAGGAGAGGCGGAGGGGCCAGGTGGGCTAGATACTATAAAATCAAGTCTCTGGACAACAATGCCTCACAGTACAATCGCTGGCCCTAGCAATAATCCCTCTCCCTGTCCTCTGATTCTGCCATTTGGCTTTTTAGAAAGTTGAGCAGAATAAATATTTTCTATAATTTTATTTTTTTAGGAAAAAGGAAAGCGTTTTTGGGTTTCAACCCCACGGAGATCGCACGCAGACCTTGCAAACAACAGGAGAGACGAGAGGGATTTGCAGATCCGAAATGACGCATTAGCCCCCCTTTTCCCCCTTTTCGGCTTTCGTTATTTCTGGTCCTCCTTCTCCAACTTTGCTGTCGTTTTACCCTCTAGACGCTCTAACGGCTGTGGTGCTCTGCTCTGTCTCTGCTTGGGTCAAGTAGGGACCTCGGGCTCCGAAATCTTTCGTCTGATCCGGCTTCGAACCTCAGCCTTAGTGCCTTGCTTGGTTGCCTGGGAATTCAAGGTACTCTCGCGAACCATCATTTCTGGTTATGAACTTTGTTCCGTCTTCTTTTTGCTTTTTCAATGGTGGAAGATCCCGTCCTTCCTTTGTTTCTGGGCTACCCAACGCGGCATTGAAGTTTCTATGTTTCGGGGCAGAGATTCTTTGTTTTGTTTGAGAAAAAGTTTAGTGAGGACTGGGATCGTGTTTATTGTGAATTTTGATGATGTTGTTTTTGTGGTAGATTGGTTTGTTTCACGAGTTACTTATCGTCTTTGTGTTTGTTCTTTCCTTGTTGGTATCTCCCTTCTTTGCTTGGGCTCCTCGGTTTTGCGTCATTTGTCGTACTTTTAACTTGTGATGTTTTTAGATAGAGAGTCAGATCTGCGCCCACTTTTGCTGACAATTTATTATTAACAATAATGCGACAATTCAGTTATTATTTACATATTAGCTTATCATTTTCGCCTTGTGTATGCGTTTTCTGGGAATTATCAGTCGAAAATCGGGCATTTGCTTTTTCACTAAATTATTTTTTTTCTTCTATTCGTACCTCTAGAAGTTTGGAAAGGCAAATATAAAATGCATGATATCATTACCGGTAAAATCTCTTAGTCTTTCGTACTACGGTGGAAATTGACGATGTCAAGGACACAGGTGATTTTCGAATGAGTTTATGTTCGGAAGATTGAAAGAGAACTCCATGCATGAATATGTTTTAAAACTAATGGTGAAAACTATTTTTTAGTTGATTGTATTTAATATCGCTTTTGTGTGTGTGACAGGAAATTTTTTTTATGGATTATCATTTCAATGAAGTATAACGATGTTCGATATTGACGCATGTTCCGAAGAATTCTTAATTCACATTGTTTCCGTTGTCACCCTTTCCACTTTTCCATTTCTTTGGATGTTGGGTTATTTGATAAGATCTATTATATCTGAATAACTTGCTTCAACTTTCATGCAGCTTTAGAATTCATTATGGTGGCAACTGCTGCTACATCTTCGTTTTTCCCTGTTACTTCACCCTCACCAGACTCTGGTGCAAACACTACCAAACTTGGTAGTGGGTTCAGAGGACTTAAATCCAAATCTGCAACTTCTGGTGGCTTGCAAGTTAAGGCGAATGCTCAAGCCCCACCAAAGATTAATGGAGTTACTACATCTTTGGAAACCGTGAAACATGAGAATGATTCTCCATCATCTTCCCCAAGGACTTTTATCAATCAGTTGCCTGATTGGAGCATGCTTCTAGCTGCAATCACAACAATTTTCTTGGCAGCTGAGAAGCAGTGGATGATGCTTGATTGGAAGCCCAAGCGACCTGACATGCTTATGGATCCATTTGGTATAGGAAAAATTGTTCAGGATGGTCTTGTGTTTCGGGAGAACTTTTCTATTAGGTCCTATGAAATAGGTGCTGATCGAACAGCATCTATTGAGACGTTAATGAACCATTTGCAGGTATGATCTGCTAGCAAGTTTCTAACAATGCTCTCAAAGATGAATTGGTTAGTGACGGATAGCCTGTGTATAATTGTTTGTTTGCCAACAGGAAACTGCCCTTAATCATGTTAAGAGATCTGGGCTTCTTGGTGATGGTTTTGGTTCTACACCAGAGATGTGTAAAAAAAACTTGATATGGGTGGTTACTCGGATGCAGGTTGTGGTTGATCGTTATCCTATGTGGTAAGTCATCTTGACTTGCCCTTGTATGTGATTTAATGATTTGCCTAGGCATCCCACATTTTAGCAATTTTTATGATGATTGACGAGTCTATATGATATCTGGCTCCAAAGGTTTGGCGCTTCTCCAGTTAATGTGCGGATTATGTATTTTCTCGCCCAGAATTGGCATGATATTTGTGTTAACCATATTCTCATTGTGCTTCTCAAGTTTTCCAGAGTTGATAAGTTGACAACATGTCCGAGAAGCATGAGCTTTGTGCATGATGAACTCTGGGGAAGCCTATGCCTTTAGGGGTGTTCGTCTGGATGAGATAATATTAGACAATGATTGATTTGGTTGCTCAATCTAGTTTCTAAATTGTGGTTAGAATCCAATAGCTGATGCAGACGTGTGGAATAATCATTAGAAGCAACTTTCAATGCTTCTTGAAACTTCATTTTGATTATTAGTTCTATACCATCTTTGCTGGCTGAGGACTGCATTTTCTGTTATTTTTGCTTGCTTGTGTCAATGAGTTGTGGGAGAACCATTAATTGGATTATTATGGATCATTTTGAAATAAATAATCTGAAGAGAAAAGAGTCTGTATTTTCTTATTATCAGGGGTGATGTTGTTCAAGTAGACACTTGGGTTTCTGCATCTGGAAAGAATGGCATGCGTCGTGATTGGGTTGTGTATGACTGCAAAACTGGTGAAACCTTGACGAGAGCCTCTAGGTAGAAATCATTTCTGTGCACTTGTGCAGTATGATTACTCTTCTTTCTCCTCTCTCCTCTTTCTATAAGCAACGGACATGTTTTGATTAGAAATTCTCTCTTTTTAATTTTAGTAACAATTCTGTTCTGGTGTTTTGGTTGTGTTGATCTACAGTGTCTGGGTCATGATGAATAAGCTAACAAGGAGGCTATCTAAAATACCAGAAGAAGTCAGAGGAGAGATAGGGCCCTATTTTGTGAACTCTGATCCTGTAGTTGAAGAGGATAACAGAAAACTACCTAAGCTTGATGACAATACAGCAGACTATAAGCGTACTGGCTTGAGCGTATGTTAATAGTTTTCGTACTTATTATCATTAATTTATTTGCTTAAGCTGGCTGAGATGTTTCTAACTTCATCAATGTTGTGTTCTGTGATTTCAGCCGCGGTGGAGTGATTTGGATGTCAACCAGCATGTTAACAATGTGAAGTACATTGGCTGGATCCTGGAGGTAGATTTTTGTTCCCTTGTTCGTAGAAGCTCCCATCCATTTGTTATTTTCTTCTCTATTTATAAGACGTTGGAATAATTCCGGGTATTCAATGCATCACTGAGGAGCTTTGTTAACTACAGAGAAATGTGAATTGGAATGATCTTGACTTGTTTACTATATGCTACTATGCATGAGTAGCCTTTATATGTTTGTTAATGCATAGCATGGTATGCATCAATTTTACCAGGTCTACTAATCCAAGGATCATGTTGTAACTTGGTGCAGAGTGCTCCACAGTCAATTCTGGAGAGCCACGAGCTTTGCTCCATGACTCTGGAGTACCGGAGGGAATGTGGCAGGGACAGTGTGCTGCAGTCACTGACGGCTGTCTCTAGCGCCGATGTTGGTAATTTAGCTCAAAGTGGAGGTGTAGAGTGCAAGCATTTGCTTAGGCTTGAAGACGGTGCTGAGATTGTGAGAGGCAGGACAGAGTGGAGGCCAAAATACCCCAAGAACTTGGGTGCCAACAATCAGATTCCGGCAGAAAGCACCTAGATTAGCTGGAAAAGCATTGGTCTCTTCGGTCCTCGCTCGACGGGAGAGTCTTGCTAGTGTTTGTCTGATTTTCTTGCCTTTATATATACATATATACATACACTCTGATTTGTTTTGCCTTGGGGGTTGATGGGGAGAAAGAAGTCTCATTTTCATTGTAAGTAGTAGCTCCTGGCTATCCCCATCCTTCTCTCTCTCTCTCTCTCTGTGCGGTGGTTCTATATTCCTTTTTGATTAATGGTTACGCAACATGTCACATACTGTTAGGCTGTCTTCAATATTTAATGCTTCACCAAGATGACTACGCTTTGTATAGCATACGATTTTATTGTATTTTCTCGAGGCTTGGCTCTTGATGGTCGGGTACTTGTGGGGAACACAGTCCCAATGATTGGCTCTGATACAATTGTGATTGCATTCTGCCAGTCAGAGATTCTTGCATCAATTCTGCCTTCAAGTGACCTGCTGTCATATTGCCACTGTAGATTAGGATCCCCCATTGTCAGCTCGTAGCAGTAGTAACTTAAAAAAAAAAAAAAAATTATCACATCCTTAATTTTAATTTTCCCGAGACTTGATAGGCCAAGGTCCTTGTTTCTCGAGCGTAATACATTATAGCAGTATTACCCTTGCTGGTCAATACCACGGGGTCTCCCAGAAGAATGACTGACATTGTTGTGAAGCCTCGTTCCTAGAAAATTTTGAGAACTTAAATGAGACCCCAAAACCCAACTTTTCCTTGAACTGAAAAACGCAGTTCCTTTGGGGTTTGCATGTGGAACAATTGCATGGTCATGGGGAAACGTACCCATTTCTCGTGACGACGTTGCAGTGCTGTGGAGCGACAGAAAGACTCGGGCACTATGATGATGTGAGTATAATTAACGCAGAATCAATCCCCGAAATCAGAGTCAGATCCGTCCTCTCTTCTGCATCCGCAAATGACTAAATATTAGTATTATACTTTTTTTTAATTACATTAACTTAATCGAAGATATATATATATATATATATGAATCAATTAATTAAAAAGAAAAGTATAATACATGAAGTTTAACAAATCTTAAGGGGAGGGAATTAAAGAAAGAACTATCATGAGTGATACTAAGGGTTGCAGAAGAGAAATGACTTGTTATTTTATGAAGTGATGTTTTCAATGAAGGGAATGGAATAGTTTTTTGTTGAAACAAATAACAAATATTTCTGACGTACAAAGATATCAACAAGTAAGCAAAAAATCTTTGATTCGTTGTAAAGCATTTCTAAGACAAAGCTAGCTAAAATAATTTGGATCAGTGGTCAAAGATCTTTCCCAAAAAAAAAGTTGTGCCTGTAAACCGGTTTGGTGTCAAAAATAAAAACAGAACATACTCCCTCTGTCCCTATATATAGGGCGCATTTTAAAAGCTTTTTTTTATCTTTATATATAAGGGTGCTTTGATATTATTGAGTAATTGGACAGTTTTATTATTGTCTTGAAAAAAGAAAGATATTAATTGGGTGTTTTACCCTCTACTACTATGATATTAGTTGATATTATTAGGAATAAAATTATAAAATTAATGTAATTTAATGAAATTTCAACTAAATAATGAATTTTTATTAGGATAAATTCCCCACTAGCCAAAAATGATCTTGTACTCAAAAAATATAAACCAAATTTTGAAAATTTGGAAGTATGGCAACTTCACATTTATATACAAGGAGTTTATTATTAAAAATTTAAAAATTTACAAGGGATTTATCATTAATATATAATAGTATATCATTAAAAAAGTAAGAAATATAATAAACTAGTTATAACGCAAAATATAATAGACGTTAGGTTGTTTGCTTAATTTAATTTTATAATATGGGCTATATTTGCAAAACTTCATTCTTATTAGCATACAAAATTCAGTTAAAAAAATTTATATATAATAACAGAGAGTATTCCTCTGCATATAAATTTGTTCAAATATTAAAAGAACATAACTAGGTGGAGTTGTAAGAGCTGGAGGGTCTTCTAATATTAGCGTTATACTCATTCTGTTAAAAAAAATAAGGTATTTTTAAGCAAATTTTACTTTCAAATAAAGTAATTATTTATTATTTTTAAACTAATCTATCTTTTTATAGTTACCCTTATTAAACATCCTACAATAAATATAAAGTCATTCATCAATAGGGATATTTTTAGAAAAAATATAATAATTACACTTCGAAAAACTAAAAATGCTTTATATTTTTTAACATTCAACTCCTAAAAAAATTTATTACATTTGTTAATGAAAGAAATACTTATTTCAATTAAAAAAAAGGTAAAGAGATATAATGGATCATTCAACATGAAAGCCTTTTAAATTTAAATAATTGCCTGTGAATTTTCACTTCGTTTTGGCCATCCATGTCCATTCTTAAATTAATTTATTAAAATTAAGAAAACCAGAAGCCCTTGACAAGTTATGTTTTAAAAGAAACTTTTATCCGAATCTTTTTAAAAAGAAATTAATGTTTTTTATACATTACTTTGCATGAAAAATGTATCTTTTTTTTTTATTGCTTATGGGTATGAAAAATATATCATTGATTACGTACTTTCAATTTTATCTTTTTTATGATTTTTTTAATAGAATAAGAGATTGTATGTATAAAAGGAGGTGAGTATTTTAGAAGGTGATGCGGATAAAAAAAATTGTTTTTTTTAATTTCGATGAAGAAGTTGTAAATCACTTGTCCATAGAAATTGAGCTTGTATTAATTAACAAAGTGTCAATTAAATTTACAGTTATTTGGCAAAAAATAAAAAATAAAATAATAATAATAATAATAATAATAATTTACAGTTGGATTACCCTTGTCAGTGACCTCTGGTTGACTTCAATTGAAAACCAAACCACTGTTGTTCTGTTTAAAATATTATTTAAAAAAGATCTGACCAAAAAGTATGAAATCATAAAAAGAAATCCTCATAATTATATTAAAAACACATACTACGCTCCACGTGTCTTTACAATTTATTTTTAACATTTTCATTGAAAACTAACGGGAAGTTTATTATTTATTAATTTTATTTAAAATTTATTAAAAAAAATTAATTGTTCATAAATAATATAAAATTTTTAGCTGCATCTGACTACCTGTATTAAATAATTTTTTAGAAGTCGAAGAGAAAAACTTGAGAAAACAAATCAACATTAAATAAGGTAATATAGAGAACATGTAGAGATAATGTTCATGGAATAAAATTATTTTTGATAGGACACATGCACATAATAAAAAAAAATCAAGGAGTATTGTTACAAAAAAATATATTCTAGGAGTTTTTTATAAATTAATAATGAAATTTGTTATATTTAATATCGATATATTATTGATGATGTTATCATATTGAAATTAATTTTCGCAAAGAAAACTTGACAAGATATTGGTACTATATTGTGTTAAATTTAAAATAAACATTTTCTTTAAAAAAAATAATTAACATCTACAGTTCCACTATTCCAATTCTTGACATTAAACAAAATTAACAAATTTTTCATTTATTAAAAAATATTAGTTATAATCTTGAAATTTAAAAAATATTAAATTTTGATTTTATCTTTATTTATAATTAATATCCATAATAAATTGTTATTTAAAAATTTAAATAACAATAAATCAATAAAGGAAAAAAAATAAAAAAACATTAATTATTCTGATTTTATATTTAGAAAAAAGAAACTTCTAAATTTTATGTTATATCAAGAAATATTAACGACTGGAGTGAGTATGCTTCATAAATTTGGCCAAACAAGCTAGCTAACCGTAACTGACATGTCATCCAAAATCTCACGAGCTCTCTATGTACATCTCTCTCAGACCACACATCCAGGAGAAAAATTACGAGTTAAAAACTTAAAATTATGCATGCCAAGATGGTGTATTTACTTAACTTGGTTTGGTAGCGACAGGACTGCTGTACCTACAGTTTCTGAATAACATGTCTCCTCGCTTATTCTCTTGAATCGAGGAGGGAGAAACTTGGGGGCCATTCATGGGGATTCATCATTGAAATCTCCAGCTGGGGTCTCCCTCCATTCTCCAACTTTTAGCAATACTCAAATCTAAAACTCTTCTCACCGATTTCACCTTCCCACGCTGCATTTTCTATCTTAAGCACCCTTTTTGTGTTTGATCTCCGTGGAAACTCTTCAAGACCTTTATTGAATTGCTCTGCCTTTCTTCGTCCTAAGTTGGGGTTTGTCTCGCTCAAAAAAATCAGGTTGGTCGTTTCTCTCTCCCTCTCAGCTATGGGATATGGGTTCTGAAATCTTCGATCTTCGGTGGTGTTGAGAGTTCCCCCTTTTTTGAAGTTGAATTATTAAACTAGACTGTTGACCACCCGTGATAATTGTAAAGAGTTACGCAGATTATGCACAACTTTAATGGTTCATCAAGTAGGGTGCTCTATTTGTTCTAATTTTAGTCCCAGATCTTGGTTTCTTTCTCCTCCTATATCTGCTATTGCAACCTTAAGTTTCCATTAAGAATGGTTCATTAATGTCTTGCTAAAGATGGGGCGTTCCCTTGTTAGTTTCTTTATTCTTACCGGAGGCATATTTTCTCTCTTTATTTCGTTGAGATGAACTTGATCTGACTTTACAATGGGCTAGTGCTTCAGAGAAAGGCCAGTTTTGGTATTTCAATAATTTGGTGGATAGTCATAATTGTTCTTCGTTCGTTATGTGAATTCTGCCGAATGTGCTGAATTCTGTCAACACTCCATAGAACTTCATAGACATAGTTGGATCTGACTTGAATTTATTACTCACATTTCTTACATGACATTCCACTTCCTTATTAGGCTAAACTTTATTATGATCATCCTCAATTCGCTTGACATAATCACTAGGTCCAATTTTCAAATTATATCATTCTCTGCTATAATCTCCAAAATGTTCTCTTCTTACGTCAAGTTTAGGTTTCCTGGTTTATGGGGCAATCAACATAAAAAGTGTTTCGGTTTAGGCTTTTTCACTCAGGATTTTCAAGCTTTTGAAGCCTGATAGATATGATAATGTTTGATTTCAGCTGATGGTTATGAATTGCATGCAGGTGTTTCTCTGCTGGGTTGCAGCATTACCATTATGTTAAAGCAAATTCTTAGCAAATTGCCTAAGAAGGTGCCAAAATCTGACCCATCAGATACTTCACGGAGCGATTCTGGCAATGCTACGAGCTTTGGGAATGTCTTTCAATGTACAAATGTTGGGACTGCCATTTCAAGCAAATTAAATGTTGTGAAGCGGGTATCTTCAGTGGTTTTCCCTGCAAGTATGAGTGCTGGTGTGGAAGCAGCTGACCCCCATCTTTCTTTCAAAGATGTTTCAAATGCACAGAAGCAAAACCTGTTCATCAGTAAGTTGAATTTTTGCTGCAGTCTTTATGATATGAGTGATCCTGATAGGAACTGCTCAGAGGTAGATCTTAAACGTCAAACACTCACAGAGCTCGTTGATTTTGTTTCTTCTGGATCTGCGAAGTTTACAGAACCAGCGATATCTGCCATGTGTAAACTGTGTGCAAGTAATTTGTTCAGGGTTTTCCCACCTAAGTTTCGCTCTAGTTCTACTGGTAGTGAAACAGCAGATGAAGAACCAATCTTTGATCCTGCTTGGTCCCACCTGCAAATTGTTTATGACCTCCTCCTTCAATTTATCAATTACCACCCTCTTGATGTGAAATTGGCAAAAATGTACATAGACCATGCCTTCATTTCGAGATTACTTGACCTCTTTGATTCTGAGGACCCTAGAGAAAGAGAGTCTTTGAAAGCAATTCTGCATAGGATTTATGGGAAATTTTTGGCACACAGGCTTTTTATTCGGAAATCAGTTAGCAACATCATCTACCGGTTTGTTTTTGAGACTGAACATCATAATGGAATTGCTGAGCTGTTGGAGATATTTGGGAGCATAATTAGTGGATTTGCCTTGCCATTGAAGGAGGAGCACAGGACGTTTCTGTGGAGGGTTTTAATTCCCCTGCACAAACCCAAGTCCTTGGGTATTTATCATCAGCAATTAACCTATTGCGTTGTACAGTTCATAGATAAGGATCCAAAACTGGCTAGCACTGCGATAAAGGGACTATTGAAGTACTGGCCAGTGACAAATAGTCAAAAGGAGTTGATGTTCTTGAGCGAATTGGAAGAGGTGTTGGAAATGACCAGCATGGTGGAATTCCAGAAGATTATGGTCCCGCTTTTTAGGCGCATAGGTGGTTGCCTTAACAGTTCCCATTATCAGGTACTTTCTGGCTTTCTTCTATTATGCTTCTCTTTTTAGCTGTAGCATAAGTTTTGTCCACATGTAATATCAACTTTTCTTCCACCTGATCAGTGGTGCTCAGGAATCAGAAATTAGGACATTACATTCTGTGTGTTGTCATCTCTGCTTGTTTTGAATCTCTTTTCTGTGTCTAATTTGAATATCTCAGCTTAAATGCACATAATATATTAAGATGACTTGGATTTTGGACATAGACCACGATGTTGGTCCCTGGGTATCCTCACTTTAATTCTAAATCAACTTTTGTTTAGCGCTTATGCCTGTTAAAGGATATTAATAAGGTTATTTTCATCTCATAAATCAGGTGGCTGAACGCTCCCATTTGCTATGGAACAATGAACACATCCTTAATCTTATCACGCAAAACCGACATGCCATTCTACCTCTCATCTTCGCAGCTCTTGTACATAATACCCAAAGCCACTGGAATCAAGCAGTACTCAACCTGACTAAGAACATCATGAAGATTATCTCTCAGATGGATGAGGATCTGGTACTTGCCTGCCAACATAACTTGGAGGAGGAAGATTTGAAGTCGAGTGCTGAAACTGAGAGGCGAAGAATAACATGGGAACGCCTGGAAGCTGCAGCCAATGTTCACCCTGTAGTTGGTGACACTTTAGTTCCAGTAAAATCTGCTGCATGCTCTGTGGCCTGCTAGTTGCTTGAATCCATCACAGTGAGAAAACAAATAACCATCCATAGATGTGAGGGTTCAAATGATATAGTGATGTGGTTTTTCTTTTCAGTTTCACCTAGTCTTTAAGATGCCAATAGGGTTCATAAATCCTCTAGCATGGATTCAAATTGTGCTCAGCACTTTAGAGTCTGCTTAGGTTCTTCCACAAATTGCTGAGTGGGTAATTCATTTTTTTGGCAATTATTTGCAGTGTCAGTACCTGTAACTATATCTCTTTGGCCCTCTTTATGTCCCACACCCACCTTAGCCCTGGCCTTTGCTCAATTTAGCTTCAAACTCTTTGAAATTCCAAATGAAATTGGATTGCATGTATGTTTATCCCTTGTATTGATGATGTATTCTTGCTTGCCCGTTGAGGTTTAATAGCTTCTTTAAAAATGATGTAGATTCAAGCCAGGCAAGAAGGTTAAGAAAAAAAGTGGAGTGATACTGGTTGTTAGAAGGATTATCAATCAATCTTGTAAATAGTCTTCAGTAGTGGCTTTTCTTTTCAAATTGATGGACTTTGATTTTTCCTCTTTTTGATGATCATTGTCCTAATGTTAGAATGTTAAATGCAAAAGATGACTATTTGATTATGAAGGTTTTAAAAATTAAATTAGTCATTGAACCAGACTAGTCACTAGTTTAGGGTTCATTGGTTCAACCGTGGTCGAACTATGATTGAACCGATTGACATTAAATTAATATATTTTTAATTTATATATCATAAATAAATAAGAAATACATGCAAATATTTATACTTTTCAAAAAATATTAATAAATGCTTGGTAAAATGATATATTGTTGATAAATACATGATTAATGTTAATTATTCTTAGTTATTCTTTATTTTAATTAATTTTTAAATTAATTTTTTAAATTTTTAAATAATTCAAACCGGTTTTTAATGAAACTGGTCTAATTTTCAATCAATTTTTTTGGTCGTTGACCATTTCTGTTATGATTGGTTTTGAAGGATCAATCGAACCAAACCAAGAGTTGGTTTTCAGTTTAACCGGTCGGTTTGATCTGATTTTTAAAACATTATATTTTATTAAATTTTTTCTTATTTAATTAGGATTTTTTATAGGAGTTTTTCCGTGAATAGATACTAATCGTACCCTTTTTTTCCAACAATTAATGGGGGTTGGATATGGTCTGTTACAACAAATTAAGATTGAAATTCTTATTATTGAAAGATATGTTTATATTTTATAATTGCGCATTAAACAATGTTGTTTCTAACGTGAGGGCACATTGCCCTATCAAAAAAGAAAAAAAGAAGAAAATGAAAGAAAAATTAGACACAGAGAGATTAGAGGGAAGTTATCCACAAGAATATTTTTTGGTAATATCCAGAAGGTTTTTTCAAGGGGGAAAAAGTAAACAAAGTCAATAGTAAGATTATTATTATTATTTTTTGACTAGTGAGCCAATTTATCTGTATTATTATGACTTGTCAATTAATTGTTCACCCTTAATTTGACAGGTGCTCAACTCTGTCAAGCCACCTATTAATTAACAAAGGGAAAACATCACCTACTAATTAATCAAAAATAGAAAGAGAAAAACACCAGAAAGGGGGGAGATAGATAGACACAAGAGAAAACTTAATTCATGAGATTTTTGTAAAAAAAGAAAAGGGGGAAAAAAGGAAGCCTGAAAGTAACAAAGTGAATATTGATATTGATGTTAGAGGTTGGATCATGAGTGTTGTACATATAAGCAGTGGATTTGGTTGGACCTTCATGTGCTTCTCAGGAAAGAGAGAGGCATGGACGCTCCGGGACAGCAGCAGATGAGTTATCATGAACATGTTCAGAAACGCCACGAAGAAAAGGGCTGTCTTTGTGCTTGATTTGTTGCTTCTTCCTTCTTGTTCGTCTTTTTTGGTTTACAGTGATGATTTCCTCTCCCAAGATTTATTAATTAACTGATTTGCTGGGATTATTGTACGCAGTTTGTTCGCCACGTGTTTCTGTTTCTGCTGCTACGAAACCTGCGAGTTTTGCTTCGATAAGCTCTGTTGTTGCTGTCCTTCATCATCGTCTGATGCTGCTCATAAGCGATCTTCTTTGTATCTTCTAAATCTCTTAATAAATAACAACAACAATATTTTCCTTTTATTTTTAATTCTGTATGACCTCTGTTATTCAAAATCATGTTTTGATGATATGAACTTAATTAATGAAAGCTTATTTGAAATACTTTTAAGTTCGTCACCCTCTTGAGAGAGTGCTTTGATTACATTTTGTTATTATTCATTACTTGTGTATCAAATAAAGTTGAATTCAAATTCAAAACATGGCATTAGTACGGATAAGTGATTGCCAATCTCAGTGGTAGAAATATGTGGCAATGCGAAATTTTGAGAATGCCCAACTCAATCAGTTTTTTTTTTTTCCTTTTTCAAATTATATATTTTCCTTTCATAAAGTTAACAAATATTGCTACATCTGAAGTTGGCTCAGATGTTAAGAATTAGAGAATGTATGAATTAAGATCAAGAATTCATCTTTTAAAATCAATGAAAAATAATTTAAATTGAAATGTAAGCCATATTTTTTAAAAAAAATTAGTTTTAAAAAGGTTATGATCATATTTTTAATTCTAAGAGAATCATTTATATTTTATAATTAAAAAATAGTCGGTTTAAACATACAGTAAAATAGGTAAAAATAAATTGCTCTAACTCAAAATATGACTTGAACTACATTATTTTTTTCAAGAAGTTTTAAGAAAATGAGTTACAGCTGTTTAAACACAAAATCTCATTCAAGTTTGTATGAATATATAATCCCTTTTTGAATGTCTCTTCATATCACAAGCAGATGCAAGAGTGATATTAATCCCATTCTGCTTAAGTTTTATTGCTATCAACATCTTGTTGGACAAAACCCACAGAGAGAGAGAGAGAGAGAGAGAGAGAGAGAGTGCTACTAGTACTAACTGTTACAAGATAATGTAACATTTACTACTCACAGATACAAAATTTGAGCCTCGGGGAAAAAAAAAACTACACTTTAGGTCAATCTATGCAGTAATCTTGTATTCATGTTCACATTTTCCTCCATAAAAGTAAAATAACTTTCTTAGCGATTTTCTCTTCTTTTAATATCATTTTCTTCCGCTTTTACCCTTTTAAGAACTTTTTTGTTTCTTGAGCAAATAAAAACTTTGTTTCAATGGTTTGACAATAAGAATGTGGTTCCAGGTTAAACCACACACTTTCAATATCATAGAATATATATATATATATATATATATGAGATAGTATTATATTCAACAACAATCAGGACTCGCCGGTTTTTTTTTTTTTTAAAAAAAAAACTATCAGGACTCATTTGACTCTTTTTGCTGCATAGCTCATGTTCTTTTTTTTGGAATCACCTACAGAGCTCATCTTCTGCCTAATAAGATACATTATAATTTTAAAAATAAAAAATCACTTCTTCCACAATGCAAATGGAGCATTTTTTTAATTGCAAAACAGCAGATAAAATCGCGCAACAAAGAAGTTAGAAAATAATTAAGAGTTATCATTTATAAAATAATTTAGTGTTTTAAAATATATTATTTTCATAGTTGAAAGAACATCAATTCTTATTTAATTTTTATCAAAGATTGAACGCTGTCATAATTGATATAAAATGAAAAAGACCTGGTTTAATACCTAAATTAGAACAGTTGATGATTCACCTCAAAAGGTGAACGCTTTCATCAAAAACTAACCTACACTACTCTGAATTTAGGTATGATTTCAGTCTCGCCAATTGAAATTTGGAGACAGTACACACACATATCGTGATGGTATCAAGGGAGGACGAAGGTGATGACTGTGTTACTTGCAGTCAAGTACTGGTAAACCAACTTCACCAGATTAACTAAACCTTTTCCTACGACGGTAATAAGCGTTAATCTCCACAGGGGCAAAAATTTATACGTTAATGGCAGATAAGACCTGGCGTTCAGGATTAATGGAACAAAGAATAAAACTTGAAAATTCAGTGAATCTTTCTGGTGAACCAATCTAGAGAGTGAAGAGTCTACCGGCTGTTCACCAACTCAACCCCATTCAGAAGCAAACCATTTGGAAATTAGGTTGAAAATGGCCATACTATTTGTGCTTCCCACTTCTGTTACCTATTTAGTTACACACACGCATACTCTCCCCCTCACTGCTCTCTGCCCTTTCTTCTCTGAAACCGTATCGGCATTAATTAAGTGGGCATTGGATGTGTTTGGGAGCGTGAAGAGAGGCGCTGTGGATTCTTGCGTGACGAAATGTGGAACTCCGGCGAGAATGTGTTCGCAGGAACGGCGTCCTTGAGGGAAGACGAGCGGGTCTCATTGGAGAGGCTGCCCACGTACGAGCGAGTTCGCCGAGGCATCTTCAAGGATTTACGAGGCGAACGGAAAGTGGTGGACGTGAGGGAACTGGACGCGGAGGAGAGGAAGCTGCTCTTGGAAAGATTGATGAAGTGGGCGGATCATGATCCCGAAAAATTGCTCGATCGGATTAGACGCCGGTTTGACGCGTAAGAAATCAAAGCCTAAGTCTGATAAGTTTCCTGTGATTCTCAGCAACGAAACAAAAGCATGCATATAACTGATTTGGCTGAACTGAACATGATGAATGGTACATAAACAGGGTGAGTTTGGGTTTTCCGAAGGTGGAGGTTCGATTTGAACACTTGACGGTGGAATGTTTTGTGCACGTAGGAAGCAGAGCGCTGCCCACAATTCCTAATTATATCTGCAACATGGCCGAGGTATCTTTCTTACAAACCTATTGTGCAACTTAGAGAATTCGATAGTTTAGACATAGTTATCAAATTTTTGAATTGACTTTATATGGTCAACTTATAAAATTATATTAACTCACTAATAAATTTAGACTAAATATAAATTAATGAAACTCACGAGTTTATCTTTAAATTTTTTATTTTTATATTTTTAACTTATAAAATCGTGTTAATTAATTCACAAATTCGAATTAAATACAAACTTGATTAAACTTGTTAAACACATTAATTTTTTTTTTCGATTGAGTGAGTTAACTATGAAGAATTTAATTTATAAAAATTATAAGACTTCGCTCAAAGAAAAAAAAAACTTAAAATACAAAAACTAATATTAATAAAAAAAGAAAACAAAAATATCAAAAATAAGTTCTCCTATTTTAAAATTTTTATGTCTTGTATATGATAATTTATCAATATAAATGGGTTTAATTTTAATTATTTATATTTTTAATATATTTAAATTAAATTATAATCATATTTTAATGGCTATTTATTAATAGAGGAAAACTCTTACGAGTTTATAATCCGAGTTTATGATATGTGTTTATATAACTATCATGAGTTCATTTAAACTCGTGCGTCTAACAACCTTAATTTAGATGCTAGTTCAATCATCTACCCGGTCAAGACATTTTAACTATAAAGATGGTAGTCCTTATTATAATCAAATTCTTTACTAACAAAGTATTTCATTGAACAAATCAATACATGGTGAATTTAATAGTTTAGTCGCTGGTTCACCCAATTTTTTTATAAAATTGTTGGATGATTAATTTATTAGGATGAGTTTTGGTGGGTTTTTTGTGGTGTCAAAGGCCTCTGTTTGGCTCTGGTTAAAAAAAAAAAACAAAAGCCTCTGTTTGGACATGTCAATGATCCGCGTAGTTTTGATTCCACTCTTTGATAAATGATGCAGGCGCTTTTGAGGCAGCTGCGGATAAGCAGAAGGAAGAGAAGTAAAATGAGAATATTAGGAGACATCAGTGGAATAATCAGGCCTTCGAGGTAAGCTTTGGAATCTAAATTTTGTAATTCTTTTGACAATTAATCTCTGGGGACGTGGGGTTAACAGTTTTACACGTCCAATTATGGGGAGCAAAGCATAGACTTGAGAGAATCAGGCTTCGCCGATGCTAGCTTCTACTACTATTTTCTTACTATCTTTTTCCCCACACTATTTGTAATTTCAATTGATTAAAAAAAATAAAACAATTAAATATAAAAATAAAATTTTATCATTTTTATTTAAAAAATAAAGTAAATACTTTTTTTTGGTAATGAAAATAAATACTTTTATTGAATAATAATTATAATTTTTTTAAAAAATTGTCCTTTTAAAGAAAGAACATAGAAAACAAATTACTCGCCTTGCAGCCTTCTTATACCTGAAATGTTTTTTTATATTAATACAAAAAAACTACTGGCCAAAACAAATAAGAGGAAAAAACAACTATTTTGATTGACTATCTGGATATGTAAATCTTTTGATAAGGAAGATAAATGAGTTCAGCCTTCTTGCCTGAAAATTTGATTTATAGCAATATTTTTCTTACAATATTTTCCCTCAGCTAAGCTTTACTCTAGCATAAATGTTATCATCATATGAGTTATTCACCTCTGAATTCGATTAAAAGATTTAAGTATATTCAAATTATAAACAAGACATATATCTTGTAATTCCAAAAGAAAAAAAGATATATATATATATATATATATCTTAAATTAGACTATATGAAATGAGGAGACGCGTGATTTATTAATTGAGTATTAAATCATACTAAAATTAATTAAAAACATAAAACTAAACTGAAAATTCTTGTACATTCTTGTTTTATTTTCCTTCAGACTGACGCTACTATTGGGTCCACCAAGCTCTGGAAAAACAACTCTACTCCTAGCTCTTGCTGGGAGGCTGGGACCTGGTTTGCAGGTACTTATTTTTTCTGTTGCCAATAACCACATAATAACATAATAACTGAAGGTGATAACATAGTACATAATTTACTTTCTGCAAGTTAAAAGTTAAAAAAACGTTATGATCTTTGAAGATGTCGTGGATGGCGCCTTCTCTATTATAAGCTCATCAGACGTAATGGTATACTTCATTTCAATTCTCTCTCTTTTCCCCTCTCCATTAACATTTTGTATGACCTTTGAAGATGTCAGGGAGCATCACATACAATGGACATGGTCTGGATGAGTTTGTTCCCCAGAAAACATCTGCTTATATTGGCCAACAAGATTATCATGCAGCAGAGATGACTGTAAGGGAAACACTCAAGTTTGCTGGACGTTGTCAAGGTGTTGGGTTTAAATATGGTATGCTCTCAAGAGACTCTGGTGATTTGCGATCGTTTCTCACTTTTAGATGATAAATACGAAAATTCAAATCCTTACAGATATGTTAGTGGAACTTGCTAGAAGAGAAAAGAAAGCTGGTATAAAACCTGATGAAGATCTTGATATATTTATGAAGGTCCTTCTTCATATCACATTATTTTCCTTCTTAAATGCATGTGTTTTTCTAAATTACAAAAAAATGAAATCTTATACTTCATCTGCGGAGACAAATCAATCCAATGCAGTTTCTTTCTGTAGTCACTAGCTTTGGCGGGACAGGAAACAAATCTTGCGGTAGAGTACATCATGAAGGTATTCTCAAACTTCCGGACGTATGAAAATGGCATAAATTTTACTTAAAAAAGATAATATTTTTGTGTTACTGATATAATATCTGATGCAAATTCACACTGTTCTTCTGACTTTTTTGCAATCAATTTTAGTGGGAAAAGAATTTCTCCCTAAGCAATAGTATCTGTGTTTAAAAAATAATAATGGATATGAGAGTTATGCCAGATTTGTGAGGTTATTTCCTTGTTTGGGTCTTTATAAATATTCTGAGGTACTAAAATAGTTCTGACAAAGATATTAGGTTTGGACTCTTGTGCTGACACATTGGTAGGAGATGAAATGCTTAAGGGCATCTCAGGTGGCCAAAAGAAGCGACTTACTACAGGTGAATGATATGCACGTTGTTTTGCACCGTCCCTTCAGTGCATTTACTAAATAAGATGATGTATGGTTTTCAGGTGAACTCTTAGTAGGCCCAGCGAGAGTGATGTTCATGGATGAGATATCCACTGGTCTTGATAGTTCAACCACTTATCAGATTATCAGATATCTTAAGCACTCAACCCATGCACTTGATGCAACCACTATCATATCTCTTCTTCAGCCATCGCCAGAGACATTTGAGCTGTTTGATGATATCATTCTTTTGTGTGAGGGTCAGATTGTGTATCAAGGCCCTCGTGAATCTGCTCTTGAATTTTTCAACTTGATGGGATTTACTTGCCCTGAGAGAAAGAATGTGGCAGATTTCTTGCAAGAAGTGAGTAGTAGAGCTGTGGAGAGCAGAATATCAGTTTCTATTCTATATGCTTTTAGTCATTGCTCAAACTTCAAATTCTTCTCAGGTTACATCTAAAAGGGACCAAGAACAGTATTGGGCTATGCTTGACCGCCCTTACCGGTACATACCTGTTGGCATGTTTGCACGAGCATTTCACCTTTATCGTGAAGGAAAGAATTTGTATGAAGACCTGAGTATTTATTTCGATAGACGTTATAATCATCCAGCAGCCTTGGCAACTTATAGCTATGGCGCAAAAAGGCGTGATCTTTTAAAGACCAGCTTCCGGTGGCAGAAGCTGCTAATGAAACGAAATTCGTTTATTTATGTTTTTAAATTTGTTCAGGTAATCTCACTTGTTTACTCACCATGAGCTTTATAAGCTTGAATTTTTCTTTAGAATCGATTTTTTTCTTTTCTTTTTTTTTTTTTGTAGTTTTATGATGGAAGGAACATTATGTAGCTAATCTTGAGCTGTACTGATTGTTTTCAGCTTCTTTTGGTTGCTTTGATCACAATGAGTGTTTTCTTCCGGACAACAACTCATCACAATACTATCGATGATGGAGGCATTTATCTTGGTGCCCTATACTTCTCTATGGTTATTATTCTCTTTAATGGTTTTACGGAGGTGCCAATGTTGGTCACAAAGCTTCCACTACTTTACAAGCACAGAGACTTGCATTTTTATCCTAGCTGGGTTTATACACTCCCTTCTTGGGTCCTCAGTATCCCCACTTCCCTCATGGAGGCTGGATGCTGGGTGGCAGTCACATACTATGCAATTGGATTTGATCCTGCAATTTCTGGGTATAATTTGATTTAACTTGTTTTTTTTTCCATTCATTCTGACTGCTTATTGTAGGTGTGTTTTTCTGGTTCTGCAGATTTTTCCAGCAGTTCTTGCTATATTTCTGTTTGCACCAGATGTCTATAGCTCTTTTTCGTTTGATAGGATCCTTGGGCCGGAATATGATAGTAGCCAATACCTTTGGATCCTTCGCCATGTTGGTTGTGATGGCTCTTGGAGGATATATAATTTCAAGAGGTTGAATGGGAAATGCTATCTCTACATGTTTCTAGATTTGATTAATTGAATTTACTAAAGTTTTTTTAATCAAAACTTTGGGCAGATCGAATACCAATTTGGTGGATATGGGGCTTTTGGATTTCTCCTTTGATGTATGCACAAAATTCCGCTTCTGTAAATGAGTTTCTTAGACATTCTTGGGATAAGGTATCCACTCATCACTTTCTAAATGCAAAATGCTTTTGGTAATGTTCTGAGGTTCTTACATATGTTTATTCTGCCCAAAATTTTCCTCAGTGTTAAAATATGCTTGCTATTTTCTTTCTTTGCAGAGAATTGGAAATCAATCTAGCTATCCATTGGGTGAGGCACTATTAAGAGAGCGGAGCTTATATGCAGAGGGCTATTGGTATTGGATTGGTGTTGGTGCAATGATCGGATACACAGTTCTATTCAACACGCTATTCACAATCTTCTTAGCTTACCTCAAGCGTAAGAAATCTTCAGTGAACGCTATTCAAGCCTTATAGGAATCTAATGTTACCTTTCTTTCTGTCGTTTCATGGAGCAGAAACAATTTTGTTCAACAATGATAACATTTTTTTGCTCCTTAAACTTGGTTTAGCCTTGGGAAGGAAACAAGCTGTAGTCTCAAAGGAGGAGCTGCAAGAGAGAGAAGAGAGAAGGAAAGACAGAAGTGTTCCCATGAAGCTGAGAGACTACTTGCGTCAATCAAGATCAAGTGGTTTGCTAATTCTAAAATTATCAACAATTTTGTTTATACTTGCATGTTTGATCAGAGGGAAGTGGTATTCACGTTGTTGTCATTTCTTTGCAGCAATAGCTTTTAAGCAAAGGGGAATGGTTCTCCCATTTCAACCACTTTCCTTGGCTTTCAGCAATATCAATTACCATGTGGATGTCCCTTTGGTGTGTTTTTGGTTTTGTTTTTCATTTTTTTTTCTCTTTTGATTTTCTTCTGGCACACTAATTGGTTTTCAATTCAAATGTTACTCAAGGAATTGAAACAACAAGGGATACTGCAAGACAGGCTACAACTGTTAGCTAATGTTACTGGAGCTTTTAGGCCTGGTGTACTAACAGCATTGGTTGGAGTAAGTGGTGCTGGAAAAACCACCCTCATGGATGTATTAGGTGGAAGAAAAACAGGCGGCATCATAGAAGGGGACATATATATCTCTGGCTACCCCAAAAGGCAAGACACTTTTGCAAGAATTTCTGGCTACTGTGAGCAGACTGATGTTCACTCCCCTTGCTTGACAGTTTTGGAATCGCTACTGTTCTCTGCATGGCTTCGATTACCTTCAGATGTTAACTTTGAGACAAAAAAGGTATTTGTTCAACAAATTAGGCTCTTTTCTCATATGATGGGCACAAAATGATTTTTGAAGCACTTTGATTGTCAGGCTTTTGTTGAAGAGGTAATGGAGCTTGTAGAGCTTACTTCACTAAGTAGAGCACTTGTTGGTCTACCAGGAATTGATGGATTGTCAACAGAACAACGAAAAAGATTAACTATAGCGGTTGAACTAGTTGCTAACCCTTCTATAGTCTTCATGGATGAGCCCACATCAGCGTTGGATGCTCGTGCTGCTGCTATTGTGATGAGAACTGTGAGAAATATAGTAAATACAGGACGAACTATTGTCTGCACAATTCATCAGCCTAGCATTGACATATTTGAGTCTTTTGATGAGGTATTTCCTCTCTCTCTCTCTCTCACACACACACACACACACACGCAATCGTTCTCAATTTCTATCTCCTCAATGGCTCCACCAAATGAAACTTCTTTTACAGCTTCTGTTTATGAAGCGTGGGGGAGAGATCATATATGCTGGTCCACTTGGCCCTAGGTCATGTGAGCTAATCAAGTATTTTGAGGTCAGTGGATGTACAATTCCATTTGATATGCTTACTATAGTCGAATGCTAATGAAGCATACCTCGACTATTTCTCATAAGAAGATTTCCTTGCAGACAATTGAAGGAGTCCCAAAGATTAAAACTGGATATAATCCTGCTGCATGGATGCTGGATGTTACTTCTTCAGAAGAAGAAAGCCGTCTGGGAGTGGACTTCGCCGAGATCTATCGAAGATCAAGTTTATTCCAGTATGTGTAATTCTTTTCTTCAAGCTTGTCCTTAAATTTACTATTTACCATTGCTCACCTATATGTATTCATATACTGCCTGTTTTTTTTTCCCCCTTTCTCCTTAGACGTAACAAAGAACTGGTTGAAAGCCTGAGCAAGCCAAGCAGCGATTCAGTAGAATTGCATTTTCCAACCAAGTATTGCAGGTCATTTTTTGACCAGTTTCTAACATGTCTTTGGAAGCAAAATCTATCTTACTGGCGTAACCCACAATACACTGCTGTGCGCTTCTTCTACACTGTCATCATCTCACTGATGCTTGGGACAATATGCTGGAGATTTGGTGCAAAAAGGTCCTTTCCTCAAAGAGGCTCTGTACATTAAATTTGGGAAATCATTGATTGTCCATTGTTACTGAGGTCCATCCATGATTAAATGCGTTTCTATTTTTGTAGTTGACTGTCTAAAGCCCTTCTAGGAAAAAGCAACTAACAAAATAACAGTCAGCACTGGGTCTGATTTTTTTCTATTTCTGACGTACCATTTCACCTCATGAAAATTGAGTTTGACTTGATTTTGCAATTTAATAGGGAAACACAGCAAGATCTATTCAATGCCATGGGGTCTTTGTATTCAGCAATCTTGTTCATTGGCATCACAAATGGCACGTCTGTTCAACCTGTTGTTTCTATTGAAAGATCTGTTTCGTATCGAGAAAGAGCTGCAGGGATGTATTCAGCCTTCCCATTTGCATTTGCTCAGGTTTATTTTCAAGGCATTACAATTCTTTCAGACTTCACTGATCAAAACTTATTGTTTCCAAAAGTTATATAATTCGTTACCCTTCAATTCGCAGGTTGTTATTGAGTTTCCTTACGTGTTTGCACAAGCCATGATATACTGCTCAATATTCTACTACATGGCTTCTTTTGACTGGACTGCTGAAAAATTTATTTGGTACATGTATCTGATGTATTTTACCATGTTGTACTTCACATTCTATGGAATGATGACCACGGCTCTCACGCCAAATCATGATGTTGCTTCCATCATAGCCGCTCCATTTTATATGTTGTGGAACCTTTTCAGTGGTTTTATGATCCCTCATAAGGTATCTATTGAAGTTGATTTCTTCTTAACTTCCAAGTTTTGATGTTTTATGATATCCATATGGAGTGGCATAAGTCAGATTTTTACTTGTTGGGATAAACTGAACGGCATGTTAACAAATAAATAATGTATTTTGGTCCTTTTCTCAGAGAATCCCTATATGGTGGAGATGGTACTATTGGGCAAACCCAGTAGCATGGACACTCTATGGTCTTGTGATTTCACAATATGGTGATGATAATAAGTTGGTGAGGTTGTCTGATGGAGACAAATTTAAGAGTACAAGACATGTACTTAATGATGTTTTTGGGTATAGGCATGATTTCTTAGGCGTTGTTGCTGTCACGGTGGCTGGTTTCTGCACTCTTTTTGCTGTGATATTTGCCTTTGCAATTAAGTTCTTTTGCTTTCAAAGGAGATGATGAGAACGATCTGTTTGCCACCAGCAACTGTACTTTTGAAATTTTGAAATAATATATGAATTTTGTGTATATGTTGTTTTACGTTGCGAAAAGTACTCCTGTATTTTGGAAGATGACATTTGCATTTTGCAGTCTAAAGAAGAAAAGCAAACATTGATATGGATCGTAACTGTTGGAAATTACTACTATATTGTAGAACTTTACCAATTGCAGAATGAGACTCTTGAATTTGGCCTGTTAGAGTTCAAAAGAAGGATCCGATCAAATGTATAGTTCCTCAATGGAGGATGGAACATAAGTTGTATTTTCGTCCTCTTAAGAAGTCAAATTCCATTCCTTGAGCCACTATGATATCTTTATTTGTTCCAATAAAGTAAGGTGAATGTTAATGATGAGGTTATTAGTTCCTTAAGCATAACAAAAAAACGAACACACTCTCTTAGTTGTCTTACTATATATGATGAAGGAAGCAAAGCCTCAAATTTTAAATATGATCTCTGCCATTGACATCCAATCAACATATCATCTATTCATGCCCTTTATCGTGTATATGCTTTTGATGCTTATTCCTATTAAAATGATATAATTAACTTAATCAAATTTTGAAATCACTTAATTCCTGTCAAAAATTATAAGTACAGAAGTGAGTCTGTGACATCGAATTTTGTACTTCCATATTAAAAAAATATATATGGTCCGATACAAACTGAGCTCCAAATTTATAGTATTTTGAAAAATATTTTAAAAGAGTAGTATATGAATAAATAATTATTTTTGTAGTATTGGAGTCAAATTGACATAAATAAAGACAAATATGATAAAATGAGAGAATGATATTAAAATTCCAAAATAATAAATTTATGACAATTAGGTCCTGACAAAATTTTTTCAAAAATTATTTGTAAATATTAATTCAAATGGTTATAAATTTAGGAGTTTAATTGCAAGTAAGATATTTAAATTTTAAATATAACTATCAGATTATAGTTGAAATTTTTATTTGCAATTGAATGGATTAATATTTACAATTTATTTTTTAAAAATTTTACCGACTTAATAGTCATAGATTCACTGTTACGGAACTTTATTGACATTTTCCAGGATAAAATTCCTCTTTTATAGACAAGAAATTTAATACAGAGGGTCCTCTTAAGTGTCTTTTGTACCCAAAAAAGTAAAAGAAAAAATTAGAAAGGAAAAAAAGGAGTGAGGAACAATAGCCGGCTAGTCATGTTGGTATTGGCTACCAATTGTACCTCTCAATAATTAAATTTTCATGGTTACTTTCATATATATATATATATATATATATATAACATTTTTTTTATTTGAAAATAAAATAAAAGAAGTGAGCTCATATTTCTATGTCAATTGACCTATTTTTTATTATTACACGTACTCTTTTATTAGAGATAATTGTGTTTAAAATATAATCAAACACTAAATATTAACATTACTTTTAATAAAAATTTAAACTTAATTTATTATATTGTGAGGGATTAACTTCTTTCACCAAACTCGTTGGTAACTAACCTATTTTTTCTATGTTAATATGATTCTCCCTTTCTCTACTGATAATTGCTTAACCCTTTTGGTTGCAGTTAAGTTTAAAGGGAAATGGACTTTTTCCCCATAACAAGCCGGCAACAACAAACAAAGGATATAGATATAAAATATTCATCATGCGCAAGTTGTTATGAAAGTGACACTCACTACACAATTTATTGGCCCGGCAATGGAACTTTGTTATTAAATCATAACGTAAGAAAACTAAATTCCATCATTTATTAATTAAATAACATTATTCTTCGTTTGGATGCGTTTTGGTAAAATTTAAGTTCTTGCGTGCGTACCCGCGAGCGCGCCAATTGAATGGCAGAAGAGCTATCATTACGTGTTAGCTAATTCAGGCTACGTCTAACAAAAAGTTATCAACTTTTACTCTTTTTCACGCCAAAAACTTTTTGTTAAAAAAAGGTCATATTACTTATGATGTATAAATAGTCATCCATGAGATCATCCCTCTAACATTATGTCGCTTCTTTAAAACTGTGATTATTAAAATAAAATTAGAAATAAACAGCTCCTGACTGTTGCCATCAATCAATACATCAGCGTGTGGAGTCTTCAGAGTCAATTAAGAAAATAGAAATTTCTTTCCAATCGTACATAGCTTTTGGATTTGTTGTTAATGACAGAATTGGAAACTACTACTTCTTCTTCTTTTTTCAAAGGATTACTGTAGTTGGTTTTGTTGAGATATTCCAAATGTTTAACTCAGACTAATCCATCCAATTAATAGCTTACACGTACTTTTGTTAAGAATTTAATCCGTACTGCATGTATGAGAATTGAACTTGAAATCTCTAGTTAAGAGAAATCAATTCCCTAGCCAATTGATATAAGCGCCGGTAATAAAGTTTATGTTTATATATATATATATATATATATATAGTTGACGTTCCAAATAGTTTTATTGAGTTCATAATTTGTTAGGGTTTTGGATTGCTCCCCATATGAGCTCTCGAAGTGGGCCCCATTTTAACAGCTGCGAAGGTTGACTTAGGGTGACTCTAGCCCCGCGAACAAGCATTCAATTTTGATATGTATCATTCAAAATTATTGACAATGCCTTCAGAGAGCAGGGATTCAAAATTTTGAAGCTGCGAAAAAGACTTCAATCTTATCCTTACTTATACATGATATAGGTGAATACTTCAGTTTTTCCTGTTGGGGTTTTATTTTTTGAGCATGCTCAGATTTTTGTAGGCAAGACAGCCAATAATGTAATTCAAAATTTGCTTGTTTGGTTTTGCTAAACTTACATTTGAAGCCACTTTCAATCAGGTTTGAGAATTGTTTATGACCACGTACGTTTTGTAAACTAGTTTTCAAACATAAGAAGAAATGCAGCATTCCAAGGAAAGTACTGGACAGGTTATTGATGGATGATGATTGAATAGCCAAGCACAGCCAGAAATGGAGAACAAACAGAAAGTTGGAGGCTTCCATTTCAAATTATGTTATCAAAGCTTCAATCTTCAGTTAAGCCATGAATGATTGATTGATTAATACTTCGAAACCTCTTATCTTGGAGGTGTATTATAGAAGCTGATCAGGAATGTGACAGAGTTGTCGCAAGAGAGGACTTGTCACAAAGTACAACAGCTTTTTTATCCGAAAGTGTGTTGCTGATAGAGAGAGATTATGCCTTTTGTGACAGAGGAGCACATGGAAGAAAGATATGGATGAAATGAAATCATAGTGAGAGATAATACACATGTGAATGTGATTCTTGAACGCATTTAAAATGAAACAAAGTTGTGTTGTGTAAGGAAGTACAAGGTAAGTCATTTACCAACAAGTGCTTAATTTAATTAGTAAAAAAGTTGTAATAATTTAATTAAAAATTTTGAATTTGAGTCTTGTAAATGCAACCGTGTTCAGTGGTTAAACTTTTACCTGAAAGGATTCTAATTCAAATTGATCTAGATTAGTTGAAGTTTTGGCTTCGGACGCTGAATGATTTACTAAAAAAAAGCAAAAGGAAAGTGCTATGGTGGAGATCAGATGAGAATAGTCCAATGCAAGGCAAGTATTTGATAATAGGGTAATGATTGAGGCGTGGTGCAACTGAGGAATGTGCTTCAAACTCTCATAGCTGAGATAGGCGAAAAAAGGGAGGGTTCTCATTATGACAATCATATTATTATTTCCATTTGACATTTAATCGTTGGGATATTGTTGATACCCAATTTAATGAGCAGCAATGAATACAAGCATCTTCTGGGCCTGAATCTTCTGAGATTAAAAGGACAAGTTGTCACAATCAGGTACAGATTGGAGTGGGGAAATGTATGGGAACAAAACATCATTGATGCAGCTTTTGCACCCACAAATTTGCATTCTTCTATGAGGGGGAAAAGGAACTTGTAGTGTAGTTGGTTTCTTCACTCGAAAGCATCAAAAGTTGAAGGTTGAAACATGATCCTGTGTGAGCAAACGATATAAACTAAATTACTGACTGTGGTTCCTCAAAGTTGTCAGCAAATCGGGTTGGATTCAATACTCTGCCCTGTTTTACAAGCTTCATCTTTGACTTTGCCCCCAAAAAATGACCACGTAAATATAAAATTTTGGATTCAACTTGTAAATGTAAAAGATGCTTTTGTGAAAATTATCTCTGTTTGTAATGTGACTTGACTTATATTTAAATTAATTAAAGTGTAATATGAATTCAAATACGAATTGGTTTGTTAAGAAAATGTGTAGTGTTGGTGGTACAAAGATGAGAGGGCACCTTTACTGATGACTAAACTCTATCAATTTCGGGTTACCTCCCTACTTGGTAGCCCTCAAAAGCTTGTCATTCTTATTTTAGGTTATTTCACTCTCTCACACACATTGTCATCTACAAAATTGATTTCATTCAAAAAATATTAACTCTTATATTATTTCTAAGTTATTTTTAATATATTTTACTATACTTTAAAAAATAAAATTCATTAACTTTCTCTAAGAAATTAATGAATTTTTAACTCACCAATATTTAATGGAGTAAAAAGGAGAAACTTGTGATTAAAAATTTAATGGAATAACTTACAATAAATATGATCAAAAATCATTCTCTCTCTATTTTATAAATAAATTGAAAAGATATTACAAGAAAATAAAGCATAATTACCAACAAAGGTTGATTTTGTTGATAAGTATTTGGCACATAACTCACAAGATTATAGGATCAAATATCACTGTCAATGTAAAAACCTTGTTGGTAAGTAATTTATAAATATTTTTGCAACTATTCATTGAATCTAAAAGCATGTTCTAACTCTAGTAAACTCAGGAAACCTAATTCATCTAAACTTTTTGTTATAAAAAAAGATGAAAAAGAAGGGAGTGTAATTAATTTTAAGAACAGGGATGATGCAATCATTTGTACACATTTTGAGTAAATTTTGTGTGGGTGCTTTGAATAGGGAAATAAGGAGGGGGACCATGCTGAAGGAAAGTGAAAAATGTTGGATACCAATTATGGAACCGCAGGTTAGACCCTTTATTTATTTTTG